ATTTCCGTTAGCGAAAATCTGGTATCATTTCGTACTGATAAAACTTTTACCGCGTAACTTTTGGTATGTTATAAAGACTGTAATTTTGTATGTTTTGAGTATTTTCTGAAAGATTTTCACCGGGTATTTTGAATTCTACAGAGTTTTAATCGGATAACGAATTATTTGGATGTTGAAAAATATTGCTTCAGTACAATAAAAGTCTTGAAATGATATTTTCTACGATTTCTAGTAATTTTGTAATTTTATGAAATTGTGAATTTTGATCTATTGAATTTATGTTGCCTGCCGTTATACTCTTCGACGATATTCTGATACGAATTTGATGTGATTTGATGTTTGATCTGATTTGAATGATATCAAAAGGGAGTTATAAGAGGCCGAATCCTTTGGGATTCTGTAAGGGTCCGGGAATCTGAATAAAAACTGATATGATAATTCTGTATATCTGATATATTTTGGTGCTGTAAGCACAAGGGAGGCATAAGGGGTCAGAATCCTTTGAAATTCTATTTGTGTCAGGGAAGGGAGACATAATCGGCCAGAATCCGTTGAGATTATGTCTGGGTCAGGGATATGTGATATGTGATCTTATCTGCTTTGACAATGTGCTTTATGATTTGTACGATTCTGTGATCTGTGACTTGAAGAGAACTTTGATTTGAAATCTGATTTGAATAATTATGTTATATGAAATGAATTCAGTTCTTATGTATCAGTTATTTGATTTTTGTTCTGTATGAATCTCTGACCTCTGTCTGATATCATATGATTATCTGAATTTTGTACGATAAATGTTTTTAAACGCATTATGAGTACTTTGATATGAGGATTTCTGGAGATTTTGATTGACTAGTGTAGTCTTGCTGAGCTGTTAGCTCATTCTTGTTATCTGCGTGGTTTTTCAGGTTCTGTGAAAGGGAAGGATGTCTTGGATTAGCGGTTCAGTTTCTGATCTGAGATTAGGTATTTTTTTATACTTTTGATTTTTGTACAGTCATGACTTTTCTGTTCTGTTTTATACTTTCTGCTTAGAGCCATGCACTGTATTATACATAATTATTTTGATGAAAGAAAGTAGAAAATTATGGATGAACTTTTCTGTATATTTAGATGTTTATAGTGGCTCTGTGTTTTCTGTATGTTTGATTATTGGAAGAAAGTCTGAAAGCAAATTTTAAAGCTAGATCCTGGATTCATCCGTCACGACTCGACGCGACGGGATTTGTTCCGATCGGGTTGGGTCATGACAGAACAGATGCAGAAAACAATTCATTGCAGTTAGCAATGTATATATATTCTATATAGGTTGAAGCTGTTGTTTTCCAGTACTTAACAGTTCTTTGTGTTATCTAAAAGATATAGTTGAAGGTGGGGGTGCTAACAAGTTGAGCTGAACTCGATCTTGAGCTTGATTAATCAACTCAAGTTCAAGTTTGAGCTATAGTTGGAGCTTGATTAGGGGTGCAACCGAGTCAAGCCGGCTCACGAGTCGGCTATGGCTCGACTCGTTAATAGGCTCGACAAGTGATCAAGCTTATCAAGCTCGCACACAATTTCGAGCTCGATGGGTTTAACGAGCTGAGTTCGAACACCACGCTGCTCGATTCACGAGCTCACCGAGCAGCTCACGTAACTGCGGGTTCATAGCACGTTGGAAAAATGACTGCGGGTCTCATGCTTGCGGGAAAATGAAAACTATGTAGGCGGCTCGTTCGGGCAACAAAGGCGAAGCGAAAGAGGCGCTGACGCGCGGGCACATTAACAGGCTCAATTGCGGCTCAACGAGCTCAATTTCCCTTTGCCATGTCGAGCATCGAGCTCGAGCATCGGTATTGATAGTCGAGCTCAGCTCAACCACACCCTGACTCGAGCTCGACTTGACTCGTTGCACCCTAAGCTTGACTAATCGATCATGTTCTAGTTAGAGCTTCATCTTAATTCTATGAATTTGAATGGGCCATAGGGCTGATTTTTTATTTTGAAAGAGAGAAAATGATAAGAAAATGAGAAAAATATAAGGAAAAATAAGGAATAAACGTTTGATATAAGAATACTTTTTCACTCAAAATAATTTCAAAAATATTTTTCTATTGGTCAAATCCTAAAAAAACTCTCTGTATTAATCATTTTTCATTTGAAGATTTGTGGGAAAGCAAATGCTAAGTTTTGCTTTATAAAAATTTGTAAGTCAATCAGGTTTTTCATTAAGATTTTGGTTGTTACATCTGCAGATTATTTAAAGAAAATCTAAGTTATTTCTGCATTGTCAATCCAACCGTTCTAATCTATGTTGCAAACCATTTAATGGTATTTATGTAATCTCACTTTTTAATGGTATTTCATAAAGCTTAGCTTCTTCAAGTTTAAGTTATGTACAAAAACTTTCAAAAAATTATCTAAGTAATTAAGGTTTTGTTTGGAATAGATTTTGATACTTTTTTAATGTTTCTTAAGTGTTGAGTTGCAATTGGAGCATTGGGACTCTTACTTTGTTCTCTCTTATTAAATAGCTCTTAGTAGCAATCATTGATTTCAAGAGAAAAGAAAAACTCTATTTCTTCATTATTTTTTAGCAATTTCGTAGCGAACTTTAATCATAAATTCATATAAATACACAAAAATCTCAGAACTCAGAATCTCTTAATCGGAAGCCTAAGATCCCAATCAAAAAATGAGTGTTGATGCTCTGTATCTATTTCAAATTCTGTGCTCTTTTAATGTGATTACGTCGATATTTAGTAGAAAAAGTGATCGTTCATTGGACTGCAAAGGACGATTGTCGAAACCTGATGCGAATATGACAAGAGCATCGAGGAGATTGATAATTAATGTCAACTCGACTGAGACGTCACGATGTATAAATGAGAGCTTTTCATCATTTGCATAGATGTTTGGCATAAGCAATGATAATATGTTAAATTGGTATGAATATCAAACGATCAATTAATTCTACGACTAATTGTTAAATGTAAAATTAATTCCATCAGGATATTATGATCAACATATTACTCGACATCATCGGTTTTAATACCCTTAAATATGCTTTAAGATGAGTGAATACATAAATAATATATATTGCACTATAATCTAAAAGTAGATCTAAGATCTTTAAGCCCCGTATTAATCCACTTTCATATGGCATTCTTTTTTTTTGCATAAATCTAAATTGAATGAATGGTGATGATGAATGTATTAAAAAAAAATACATAATTTAATTCTCATAGGCATAGATAAAATTATGTAACAAATAGAACCGTTAAAATTAAAAATTAATTTGCAGAATAAAATTCCATTTTAGAGTGCCAAAAATTCAGTATGGACCGAAAGCATAAAGCTCTTCATGCGCCAAATCCCGTGTTGACGCGCTTGACTAAGTCAAGCCATCCGCGTTGAAGAACGCTCCTCCCGTTAGCAAAATTTATAAAACGAAATAAAACATTAAAAAATGTTGAAAAATAAATATCAAATTCACTATTTATTTGAGATAATTAAATGTATGAATAATAGAATCATTTATATATAAAAAAATAAATTTAATAATTTTATATGATTAATTTAGTTTAAAATCATAACTTTTTTTTATAATATAAGAAAATGAACAATTTATTTTAGATTAGAAAAAAATAAAAATATTATCTTTTTTATTATTGTTATTAATAAGGAATTATTATTATTTTATATGAAATAATGAGTTTTAAGATACAAATTAGATAGGTACAGATTGAGAATCTAAAATCTAAATAATATAGCTCTTTCAAATTATTTATTAATTAAATTAGTTTAGTTGCTCTATACAAATGTTGTGAAAGTAGGTAGATTATTGTATATGATGTTTATCTTTTGCTGCCAAAAACCAACATGCATTTATAAAATTTATGACATAAAAAGTTGTTTTTTATGTGAAAATTCTATAATGAAAAAGGATCCCGTGTTTAAAATGAAAATACAAGATCTATATTTTTTATATTGGAAGAAGACAATGATGAGGTGGCTTTTTGTGCACCACATCATTGGACTTCGTTGCTAACAACCCTTGGTCTGTTGCGTTTCTTTTTGTCGGGAGCCTGTTAAAGTTGGGCAGTGAGATGTTGCTGTTGGTTATCCTCTGTTTTGGTTTGGGCTAGCTGCCTCCAATGGATGGTCTTTTCTTGACTTTCGGGTTTGTAAGAAGCCTCAAAATGCCACTCCTGAGTTTTCAGAGCTGTGCCATACTTCATTACACCCTTTTTTCTGAAGCTTCATGTTTGACCCTCTTTGCAGCCTATATTAGCTGTAATGACAATTAATGACATGATGTACGATATGTAAGATTGGAGACCATTTCGTTCTTCAATATGACATGATGTTTCAGGTTATTTCAAGCGCTGATTTGAGGCTCACTTCAAGTTAAATTTTGGATTATTTTGTCTAGTATTGATGGGTCGATCCGTTTTCGTCGATACATTCGCTCTCGACTGATAAGTTTGTTGAAAGTATAGTTGAGGTGATCTTTAATTTAATGTATGGAGTTTCTATTCAAATTATTGCCACGGAGATACAATACCAAAATGTGATTTTTTAGGGCATACACTAATAAATATGAATAAAAAATAAATGTATGGCTTCTTGATCAATTTATATCAAATTATTTATTCCCAAATTAGTTAATTTGATTAAAATGTAATAATTTAAATAATATATACATTATATATTTGCTGTATATCACTTAAATTTTATATTTTATTATTTAACTTCCAATAAGGTTAAATAACATAAATATCAATAATTATTAATTTTTTCTATGATTGAAATACATATTTTCATATATATATATATATATATAATTATATATATATATATATATATAATCATCTTAAATTTAATTAATATTTATATATTAATTTATATTAAAATAAATACAAAATATTGCCATATATTTTGACGGATTCAGCGGTAAAGCTCTGGCGGTCCACGATTTTCTTGTCATTCTTCTGCTGTAAATTTACCTTTTTTACCATTAATTTTCAAAGGAGAGAGACGGAGCGAGGGGTTGTCTTCGAAATCTCTTCATCTCCACACTCCTTCAAAGAAAGTCCCTTCCTTTGACCGATCCCCTTACCCGCTTTCCACAAACCTTCGCAGTTGGATCCTCTCTCTCGAGATTGAGAGAGATTGCTTTCGTGGCGATCAGTTATATAGATTGATGATTGCCTCTCACTCGCCGTGTTCTGAGGAGGGAGAGGATGGGCTCCTGCTTCTCGACCGCAGGCAAGGCAACAGGCGGCGCCGCCGCCGGCAACCGGGAGACGGCGATTTCGCTCCCAGAAGCGAATGCTGGACTGGAAAGCGTACAGAAAAGTCAGCACGCGCAGAAGCAGACTGAGTTGTCTGATGATAATCCGCAGCCACAGCATCAGCGGGAGGGGAGGGAGAGGGAGAGGGAGAGGGAGAGGGAGAGAGAGAAGGAGAAGGCGGCCGGTGCCGGGCATAAGAGGAAGGTGAGCGGGATCGTGCCGTATGGGAAGAGGAAGGATTTCTGCTATGCGAAGGATTTTGATAGCCGGTATGCGATTGGAAAACTCCTAGGTCATGGTCAATTTGGGTATACCTTCGTTGCGACTGACAGGGCCAATGGAGACAGAGTGGCGGTCAAGAGGATCGAGAAGGCTAAGGTAATTCGAACATATTGGTTCTTGCTCTTCAAACAATAGATTTGATATTTTTTTGGTCTCTTTACATGTCTTTCTATTTTGATTAGAATGAAATTGTTTACATACTTTCTATGCTATTGGTTTTTATTGCCACATCTTACACCTCAACCAAGAGAGGGGCTGACCATCTTAGGAGTAAGATGTGGATAAGATCCTTATCTCTTCCCCTTATCCGCCCTCCTTAATTATCTTTATAATACCTTACCATCTCTTTTATATTAGTTTCCGCTTATGTTGTATTCATATAAGATAAGACTTCTATAATCTATAAAGAGGAGGGCATTCAGGATGTTTGAATTCAATTTTTGAAAATCAAATTCAAAGTTCTTCTTCCCTGCAAATCCTATCTTTTATCTATCTAATAACTTCCTCTACACACACATAATAAGAGATAGCCAAAGGAGAAGTCAAAAAGTATAAGTAAGATAATTTAATCATCAAGGTAAGATTTAATTCTAGTTTATATTTATCCTTCATTTGGATCTTTTCAAATTGGAAATCTTTAATAAGTAAAAGTATAAGCAAAAGAATTTTATCATCAAAGTAAGATTTAATTCTAGTTTATATTTATCCTAGTTTTGATCTATTTCTCCATGAATGTAATTTTTTTATAAACCCTAAGTCCATCGTTCTCCAATATAATCGCATTTGGGGAATTCAAAAGTTTAATATGCACTATGCTTGTCAATTGAACAAGTGTTAACATAATAGATTAATCATTTATAATATTCATTTGCATATTTCATCTATTTCCTTATAAATAATATATAATTTTAGACTTAGAATATGCCATATGTGGATGTCCAGGTTCATTTATCAGCATAAGATAGTTGATTGTTTAATCACACATCATATCTAATTTGATCGTGACACGACCCTTGAATTATCATCCTAAAGTTCAATAGAGCCTTGGTGTATGTCATTATTTTTATTAAAAAATGATTATCAAGAGGTTGAGGGTCCATTTATCTCTTCGTCGCCCCACATGTAATGTCATCATAAACATATATTGCTTATCTATCCCACATAACATGATCTTTTTTAGGCTTATTGTATTTTCTTTATTGAACATTTCAGCATATATATTATTCATCTCAAACATGTCAATCAACTATGTGCATTAATATTTAAATCAAAATCACTACTTGTCCCACTTATAAGATACACATTTTTATAAGATGATAAAATACTCATAATATTTCAAATATGTTCTTGCATAATTTAAAATTAATACGGGGTCATTTAATCATGAATGATAGGACATAAACATGCATTTTGCAATATAAAGACTTTAAAATACATTGCTTACATGCAAGTCTAAACTACTTACAAAATTTATGTGGAAAAGACAAAAGCAAATTTGCTATCTGAATTAGAGCTTGAGTACTTTATCCAACTAAAGATTGATAATAGGACAAGCTTCCTCACATTGATCCTATGGAATCTTGCTCTTTTGTAAATAATCTATGAAATATAAATTTCTAATTTTATTAAATTTTCTAACTTTGAATTGAAATCTAAACCAAAATAATCTCAAAGTAGGTGCACATTCAAATTTCAATGCCTATCAACCTCAAATCGAAATAGTTTTATAAAATTTTGATTTTTACCTTACAACCTTAACTCTTCTTCCTTGATCCCTATCATCCCATCGACTTTCTTTGCCTCAGCTCTTTGTTAGCTTATTACGGGATGGGAAAAATGAGGGCGAAGTGCACACTATTGCTTTGGGTTTATGTGTGTGTGTTTGTATATATAATGTAATTATAAGTATTATTAAATTAATATACTTATCTATGTATTAAAAGTATCTCTTTGTTAGCTTATTATGATTATATATGTTGGAGTAGCTCTAGTGAAGATAAGATTAAATAGAGTCGCCTTAGATGTTTTGGTCATATAAAACGACAGCCTTTTGATGACCTGATTTGGAGAGTAGATGTATTAGATTTTACCTTTGTTAAGACGTGTAGAGGTGTCTCTAAAAAGATTTGGTTAGAAAATATTAGAAATGACATTTCTTTATTGAATCTAAATGAGAATTTGACTCTTAATCGGACACAACGGAGAAAATGATTCATGTAGCCGATCCCACATAGTGGGATAAAGGCTTGATGTTGTTGTTGTATATATGTATTAAGAGATATCAACCATTTCTTATTCAATCCTCCATTCAATGCTGGGATTAAAGAAATTCCATTAATCTTTTTGCTAATGAAAATTGCTATTAAGGCATTTTAGGAAAATTAATTTAAATTATAAATAAGCTAATGTGTTAATATATATAAATATTCCTAATAAATATAGGATTTCATAAAAATAGTTTTACTCATTTTCATGAGCTGTGAAAATTAGGGTATAAAATTTTTAGAACTTTATACACTTTTGAGTATCACATATTCTTAAAGGTCATTAGTTCCTTCTGATTAAATAACATCCGTTTTTAACTTCATCCTTGTTTACTTAGTATTTTAAAGATAAAAAAGTATTTATGATTTCATTTTTTACCACAGATGGTTCTTCCGATTGCTGTCGAGGATGTAAAGCGTGAAGTAAAGATACTCCAAGCCCTTAAAGGCCATGAGAATGTTGTCCACTTCTATAATGCATTTGAGGATGATAATTTTGTGTATATTGTTATGGAGTAAGTGTTCTTGAATACTTTTATTTGGCAAAATAGATAATTTGACAGCTAAAAATTGTTCATTCCTTGTTCTACTTCATTATTATTTTTTCAACTTTTGCACATATTTTAAAACTGTTGAAACAGTTTTTTGCTTCATATTAACTTAACATTTTAAATTTTTACAATGAAAGCCTGTATATTTAATCGGATAAATATTTTTAGATTGGTGATTGTTTCCGTGCTCTCTATGATCATTTATGATCTTGACATGCTTTTCTAAAGCTTCCCTATAAGTAGTTCATTAGAAAACACCTTTCCTTATGTGATGCTTGCCACTGTAAACGCTTTCTTAAATTTTCTTGTCAGTTATAACCAAAAGCTTTGAAATTTTTTGTCAAAGTCAAATCCATTGGCCTTTTATATAAATCTAAAGGTTCAACTTCAAGACGTGCTTTCTGTGGAAAAATCCAATTTTTTTTCACATATTGTGTCAAATTCTGCTTTCTGATCTGGTATTCTGTTTGTTTTTTTTTTTCTTACCTAAGGCATCCATTATTGAACCGTTAAATGTCTTGTTTACAAGATCATCTAAGCTTCCATGGTTAAAGTATGAGTCTTCCCTCAGATTTTTGCCTGTTATTTACTTTTGGATATATGGGAGTCTACAAACTCGAATGATCTTCTTTAAGGTTGGGAATGACATCGTTATCATGTTCTTAAAACAGATTGTGCGAGGGTGGTGAACTACTTGACCGGATATTAGGCAAGTAAGTACATTCGTTTAGTTTTACAATGCTACCTACCATTGTTCTTGGATGCATTTTAATATGTTCTTGGTCCTTGTGGCTGCTCATGTTTCTTTGAAGCGCCATCAGAATAATTCAATAATAATTGATGATTCTGAGAAGAAATTTTGATTTTAAGCCAACTTTCTTTTCAGGAAGGATAGCAGGTACACAGAGAAAGATGCCGCTGTTGTAGTAAGACAGATGCTCAAAGTTGCAGCAGAATGTCATCTACATGGTCTAGTACATCGGGACATGAAGCCTGAGGTAAGGTTCTAGTAATTCAGCAGTGTTTTTAGCTGAAAATAAGGCTTCGTTTGGGACTGTTTTCTTTTTGCTTCTTAAAGCAGCTTTTTAGTACAATTTCTTTATTTTGTACTAGAAAGTTGCTTTGAGAAGCAGAAAGAAAGTCATCCCAAACGAAGTCCAAAATATAGTTTACCTGCTATATGGGACATCGAACTTTTTTTCTTTTGACTCAGAATTTTCTTTTCAAATCAACCAAAGATGATTCTCCTCTAAAGGCTACTGACTTTGGCCTCTCAGATTTTATAAAGCCAGGCATGTATTGATCTCTTTTAAACTGTAGCATGTTTATGACTCTTAGCATACCTGAAGAATACACATAACTCATAGTTGAGAACTGGCACCATGCAGAGAAGAGATTTCACGACATTGTTGGTAGCGCTTATTATGTTGCTCCCGAGGTACTGAAACGCAAATCTGGACCCGAATCAGATGTTTGGAGTATAGGTGTCATCACTTACATTTTATTATGTGGGCGTCGACCATTTTGGGATAAAACTGAAGATGGGATTTTCAGGGAGGTAATGTGTTTGAAATTTTTGTACTACTTTTTTTTTTTGTTATAGAAGATTTTGTTTATTCGTCATCTTCTGTGTGTGGCTAAGTTTACATGGGATTGAATGACTAAATATAATGCCTACCTTAAATAGAATGAATAGGGCTAATAAAGTTATGATGATGCAAGTACAGGTAAAGAATGCTTATTCTTAAACGCCAAGGAGGTCTCTATTAAGGATGCAATCGCTGATGCTGCGAGGTCCTGAGAAAACCTAAAAATGTGAACTTCTGCTCTGGAGTGATTCTTCTATTATGCCATCTGTCTTGTGTTAACTCTCTGAGTGAACTTCTCCTTATGCCGATTCTAATCTATAACCTGTGGTTTTGAGCTGATTATTAACATTATATTTGTTCAGGCTTGACTCTGATAATATCTACTAAAAACTGTTGATTCTTGTTAATGTTTATACTCTCGTCGCAGCTAGTTTTGTACTAATCCTAATGAAGGTTTGTCCAATTATGATTTCGTTTGAGACAACTTTCTTATTGCTTCTTAAAGCAACTTTCTAGTACAAAATTTTTTGTACTAGAAAGCTGTTTTAAGAAGCAGTAAGAAAGCCGTCCCAAACGAAACCTATGTTGTAAACGAACCATTGGAATGCATGACTGTTGATTATAAGGTTTGTCATTACCCTGCTTACTTGAATATCATAGCATGGAATGGAATGTCCGAATGTACCTTAGTAGTTCTCGATTGCAATGATGATAAATCACCATGTCCTATGCACATCTTAGGCCTTGTTCAGTAATGCTTTTTGCTGCTTTGTTGCTGAAAGATCTAGCATATCAGGTTTTTTAGTGAGGGAAACATGCAACATAATGTGCACTGTTGTATGCAACCCTCTCTATGGCTTAATCACCATGGAAAACATACTTGTAAAGCAACTCGTCCATCACTATCCAAATAGCAAAGACTTAAACTCGTACAAAACAACTCAATACAAAAACATTTCATGTTATAAAGAAAAAAAAAGAAGATAAAGAATAGAATTAGCAGACGAAGCTGTATATTTTGTAGAAGAAATTTTGGGGTTTTTTGGCAAATAAGTAGAAAAAATCATAAGCTGTTTCTGTGTTTTAAGTTGTGTTTATGGCTTTTAATGAAGCACTTTAATATCTGGTAGAAAAAGTGCTTAAAGGACATAAATATGTATTCTGTTGTTTGATAAATAGAGTTCTTATATGTAGCTGTTTATTGTAAAATGACCTAAAAGGTTTAGGAAGTTATAAGAAGCTTTAAGAAAAGTGATGGTAGTTCTGCTCCAATTGGTTGGGATAATGCTAGTGATGATGATTATGATAGACATGCATGTCAAACATGTTTATTTCAATAATCTTAAAATGAACGTTGGAACGATGCCGTGGGGGTAATTTTCTTAAAATAAGAACATAAGTTTTATAAGCTGTTGAAGTCAATAACTTCCAAACAGAGTAAATTTTCAAAATAATTCTCAGATTTTTTTGGTGCTTGCATTTTAATCTTAGATTATTTATGTATTCAATTTAGTCCCTCAACTCACCAAATTTAATGTTCGTCCTAAATGGAGGTAATTGGAAATTTTAATGTCAATCTCACTATTTAATACCAACTCAAATTAATGAGATTGATTCAACAAAGTCTAAGACGCCTTCATGAACAGTTTCTCTCCATCAATTTTCATCCAAAGAAATGAGAAAATTGATAATAGGACTAAATTGGTTTAAATTTGGTAGGTTGAAGGATCAAATTAAACGTTTGAAAATTTCTAGGATAAAAATGACGACAACTAACAATAATTTAGGAACCATTTTGATACTTTACTCTTTCCAAACACAAAAAGATCAGAATTTATAAAAAGCATGGTTGGACTTCCTTACTAATACTCGTTATAAGGAACTCTTTTTTAACATATTGTTCAAATAAGGTAATTCATTTTCTCAATATTTTTATTGCTGTTGGTTATGTAAAGGTCTTGGAGATGGTGAAGTTACCTTCAATCTGACTTTTCCTTGTTGATATCCTAATTTTCATAACTTAATAAAAGTTGAATAATGTTGATTTCACTTTTGGGCTTTGGCTTGATATACTAGCCCATCAACTAATCTTTGCTGTTATAATTTTCATGTTGTAATGGAAAAGGCTCTTATATGCCATTTCTTGCTTAATTTTAATTGAATATTCTCCTTGTTCCCAGGGTTATCCTTATAATTTGCGGCTTTCATGAACTTGAAGAAGGAGATAGTGTTTTTATTCTCTTTTTATCTGGGTGTTTTTGGTAAATCATACTTGAAGCTAGCACAAATATTTTATTTTATTCATTTATGATTCTTTTCATGATGTATTCTCAGGTGTTGAAAAATAAACCTGATTTTAAGAGGAAGCCCTGGCCTAGCATAAGCACTAGTGCAAAAGCTTTTGTTCAGATGTTGCTAGTGAAAGATCCTCGTGCAAGGCTGACTGCTGCTCAAGCCTTATGTAAGTTTATGTTTTGGAAGCTATGATTCTACAGAACATACTTTTATGCTTCGTTTGGGACGGTTTTCTTACTGCTTCTTAAAACAGCTTTTGTGTACAAAAAATTTAACTTTTGTACTAAAAAACTATTTTAACAAGCAATAAGAAAGCCGGATAGTGCATGAATCAGTTGATAAGGGAAGATAAATGCTGGCATTTCTTTGACAAGCCATGCTTAATTTTTTAACTGATTCTTCATGTTATTTTTCATAATTAGCGAGTTCAAGGGTTTAAATCTCCTTGAAATGGTAATTCTGAATTATACTTTTTATCTTATTTTTTGTTTGCAGCACACCCATGGGTGAGAGAAGGGGGAGATGCGAAGGAAATCCCCTTAGATATATCTGTTTTATCTAATATGCGCCAATTTGTTAAGTACAGCCGTTTAAAGCAGTTTGCCCTAAGGGTAAAACTTTATCACCATTATTGCACACGTAAAGTTCTATTTTAAATACATTGCCAATATATTCTGAGGATTCCATGCCCATGATTTAAACAGGCTCTAGCAAGTACGCTTAATGAAAATGAGCTAGCTGACCTACGAGACCAGTTTGATGCAATTGATGTTGATAAAAATGGTGCAATCAGTCTTGAAGAAATGAGACAAGTAAGCCTTATTTATTGCCGTGTGCTATGAGAAATTATTATGTGCGGTGTCCGAACGTAGAGGATCTTCCGGATTACTGGACGCACTGCGTACGCTCTACCTACGCTTTGCTTACACTCTGCGTATTTGTAAATACGCAGCAAATCCTCACAATTAATTATTTGCTGCTTATTTACTACGTATCTATAAACACACAGAGCTTACACATAGGGTACGCAGTAATCCAGAAGATCCTCTGCGTTCGGACTCCGCACAAAATAATTTCCTGTGTGCTACAGCTTTCCGAGTTCTTTGCCTCTTAGTTATAATGTGTTCCATATGCTGTTGATAATGCTATGTTTTATGTAAGAAACTAAATATGAATTTTGAAATGGTTTAGCTTCTAGTTTGACTCCTTTCGATTGTATCATACTTGAAATTTGTACTCAAGGCTGTTTATTTTTAACCTTCTATTGTTGCCCATTTGATTATTACTTTTTTTATCAAGAGAACAATTACTTTTAAAATGCTTCTTTTAGTTATTCCTGTAATGTTAAGTCATCTATTCTCTGTTTCATTTCATCTTCTTCACTCTCACCATGCTTGTATTATGTTCACTTAATTCAATGTGTTAGAGGGATAATTTGTCAGTTTTTTCTCTCTGATTGTTTGGGCCATTGGCTGAATTCTCTTAATCTCTTTGTAGGCCCTTGCAAAAGATCTTCCATGGAGAATGAAAGATTCACGTGCTTTAGAAATTCTTCAAGCTGTAAGTTGTCATTCTTCATTCCTCCTATCACTTATTGGTTCATTGAACTATATTTTATTTTGATATGAAACTTTTTTTTCCAGCAATTGGATTTTCTTAGTGGTTTGCTTGGCATATGAATGCTGGTTAAAAAAACTTCACACCTTTAGAATAGTAATCGAACACATTTATGAATTTACTTTTACATGTAAAAATGAGTAATAATTAAGCTTCATCTTTTTAAGTTCAATTAGAGCTTTAAATGTAGAGAGAGAGAGAGAGAGAGAGGGGGTTGATGCAGGACTAAATATGTTTTAGATGAATGAGATAAAACTTGCATGATTTAGATAGGAGTAAATAACAATTAAGACTGTTAGCTACTAAACGATCATAGAAAACATACGAGGGGTAGCTACGCTTAAGCCAAATCACATGTGAAGAACTTGAATCATCAAAGCAATTAAGAATCTCAATAAAATACGAATTAAATAGTCATTCAATAAAAATCCCTACGTTAACAATGAAATTAGAAACATAGAAAGTAAAACTCAATTCCTATGATTACTAAGCGGAGATAGAGGGCGAGGCACGACTCCTTGCGATTGGATCACCACCTACAAGATTAGAGAAGTTCACCCTTGTTGATGCCCATAAACAATTTGCCACTAGACGTTGGCAAGTTGTTCGTCGATGGCTTCAGAAAGTGTGAAGATGATGCGATCCAAATATTCTTCGATGGGGTTATCGACCTCCGGGTTGACGTCGAAGAAGGTTGAGTGGAGAATATTGACATTCCCTTGCTCATCGTAAACGAATCATGAGTCAAGATCGGGATCGGTCATTCATCGGTTTCAAAGGGTTGGAGTGTTGAAGACAATCGTTGTTACTTCCTTGAAGGCTCCTATTGAGAGGGAGGAGTTTATCTTGAGAGTTCAAGAGGGAAAGATGTGGCAGACCAAGGGTATGGGTGTGAAGCAAGACTTGGGTTTAGATTTTAGAAGAAAAGAGGTGGAGGGAAATCAAGCAACTGTTTCCCCAATTAATCGTTTTAGTTTGGAAAGGATTTGGGTGTGTTTAGGAAAGGGTGGGGGCGGCTAAGAGGGAATGAAAGTGGATTTGAATTATTTCCCAAAGAGGAATAGCTTGAAGTTGGAAAGTAATTAGGAGGTGGGGAACCAAGGAGGGGGCCGGCGGCATGGAGAAAGAGAGAGAGGGGTTTGGGGAAATAAAATCAAGCCTTCTTTAATTGGATTATTAAATTAGAAAGGCCCTAATTAATTCCCAATTAATTTGAAAATTCAAAGGGATGAAATTTGGTAACTTTCCTAAAATATGATTGGTATTTTAGGTAACTTTTCAAATTCAAAAAGATTTGAATTTGTAAAGTAATTGAGTTGCCTAAAAATATTAAAACCCAATTAGAAAAGATGTAATTGCAAGCATTAATGGAGGGAAACCCCAAAGGGGGCCGACGGCTTTGGCTAGAGATTTGGTTGGGGAAAAGGCCGGTGATGGGGTGGAGACTTGGGTTAGTGGGCCGGTGGTGATGTGGGGAGGAGGGTGGTTGTTTGAGGTGGTGGTGGTGGGATGAGCCAACGGGTGGGAACGTGGAGAAGGGCCGTCGGCTTGAAGTGGTGGTGGGGGGCGGGGTGGTGATGGACCGGCGGGCTAGGGTGGAGAAAAGGAGGAAGATGAGATACGATAAACTAGCCGCGAGCCTGGACTATTCCAAGGTTGACAGGTGATACGATTCCCTCTCCAAGGGTTCTCTCTCCAAAACGCTCCCAAGCTCTTGCAAGAACTCACAAGGCAGGAAATTTTATTCTTCATTCATTAACCATAAAAATAGAACATAAAGGCTATGTATAGCCTCATACAAAAGACTCAAAAATAAAAAACGACGATGCCCTTTGGCCTTACACATGACCACCCTTAAGTAAGGGATAAAAAGGAAAAAAACAACTAAAGCAAATACAAACATAAATAAATAAAAGACAAATATATATGACAACTTAAAAATATATCGGCGCGATCGTGGTTGTAGATCGGCGGTCACGGCTCTGATAGACTTTCCAAGCTCCGATGTCCCCATCAGAGGTATTATGAAGCACCATATTTATAGAATAGTGTTGCTATCCATAAAATACTAATAATGTCTATATTGACCATTACATAAGTAACGACAATAAAACCAGCAAAAATAGAGACAACTAAGAGATAAATACAAAGCAATGACCTAAAGAAATCTACTAATAAAGCTATTAGCGCAATTTTAATAGGAGTCCATAAATTTTCATAGTTGTGTAGTTTCATTTGAGTGCAAGCTTTCGCATTGTTGCTTCCATTTTTTTTTCATGCTTTGCTTCTTATGGTGATATTAATTCATCTTTATTCTCCGTAACACTGAGTGCAATTTTGGTACAGATTGACAGCAACACGGATGGACTGGTAGATTTCTCTGAATTTGTTGCAGCAGCTTTGCATGTTCATCAGCTAGAGGAGCATGATTCTGAGAGGTGGAATTTGCGCTCTCAAGCCGCTTTTGATAAATTTGATGTAGACAGAGATGGATATATCACTCCTGAGGAACTCAGAATGGTAACATTCAACCTGGAATTTAATAATCATGTTCTGAATTGTTTCATTTTTAAGTGTTACAAGAATCTTGTATTTCTTTGAACCACCTCTGCGATTTTAGCCTCCAACTATCTTTTAGATCTTTATCAAACTTAGATGTTAATGATTATTTCATAGCCTATTAACATCAGCAGGAAAAAAATTTCTTCAATTTTTTTCATTACATATAAAAAATACCTTAATATTTTATTATTTTTGTCATATATTTTACAGCAAATATCTTCAATATTTTTTTATTTGTAGATAAAAATAACATAATTTTATCTCATTTAAATATAATATAAATGTCACATCTCAATTTTAATGCTCATTCTAATAGGAATTGGGTCTGGATATCCTAACCCGATATTTTTCTGCATGAATATTTGCGGAGACTAATGTTTCTTGTTTTTGAAGTTTAGAATATAATTCATAGAGATTTAGTCTTTGCTTGGGATGGCTTTCTTACTGCTTCTTGAAGCTACTTTTTAGTACAAAAATTTTAATTTTTATTCTAGAAAGCCACTTCAAGAAGCAGTTGGGATGGCTTTCTTACTGCTTCAAAGGCTTTGTTTGGGATGGCTTTCTTACTGCTTCTTAAAGCAACTTTAGAAAACTACTTCAAAAAAAATAAGAAAGTCCTCCCAAATGAAACCTTAATTATGTATTTTTGTTCATCATAAGAAGAAGAATTTTCATTTTCTATGCAGCACACAGGGCTTAGGGGTTCAATTGATCCACTATTAGAAGAGGCAGACATTGACAAGGATGGAAAGATCAGTTTATCTGAATTCCGCAGGCTTCTAAGAACTGCAAGCATGGGTTCCCGCAATGTCCCCAGTCCATCTGGAGCTCGGAGTCATCAAAGGCCATAGAACTGTAAGCCATTGCAGAGGTTCTGAAAAAATGGACAAACTTACTATCTTCGCACCAAAACTGATTCGTAGCTGTTACTCATTGTGTGTGTAGAGTGAGATTGAGATAGATGGAAGAGAGAGAAAGTAACAAGCATTCAATGCTGTATCTGCTGGTTATTCTCCTTAGAAAAATTGGTCTTTTCAGCTCCCATAAGGTTGGTGAGTGCTTCAGAAAGCTGGTATATTCGTACGTAATAATATATCTTGTGAAGCCACCATGACAGATTTCTTGTATTATCCTCTTCTGAATGGTCTCCATTCTTTCTCTTGGCTGATCTCCAGCTTTCACAGGACATGTACAAGTAGCAAACAACAGTTATCAATGAAAAACTTGTTTGCAAACCATTCAGCTTGGGGTCTTTGTTCTTATTTCTCCTGATGTAAATTACATTTGTTGAAGCAATTGATTTTTATAATTTGGTTGTTTATGTAGCTCTCTTTTTTGTTGTTCCAGAAGGAAAAAGCTATGATGATTACTGATGGACCATGTTTATGTTCTTACTGGTTTTGTTTACCGTTTGTTGCAAAGGTAAAATTATTCTGTGTGGATATAGAAGCCGTTCAAAGGTGAATCAGAATACATCACGTTTCCTCTTTATTGTGTACCGCGACTGTGTATCCGCTGTGTACTGGTTGATGTGGCGCGTTCTGATTCGCCTCCGAATGATCCGGTATCCGCACAGAATAATCTCTCGTTGCAAAGACCTTTTGGCTGCTGGGACCTTAGACATGCACTAAGTAGAGGTTGTTGTGATCATAAACAATTTTTGATGTGATCCATTTGTGGAAGACCAAATTAGAGTTGGGTTCAGCTCATTTTGATTGTATTGGTGCCTAAATTATAATAAGTTAAAAAAAAAACCTTTTTTTTCCTTTTTTTTTTTTTTTCAAAAATGATATTATTCACTATCTTGAACTACATTTGAAATTAGAAATTTAACTTTATTTAGTATTTACCCTATAAAAATAAAAATTGGAGAAATATGCTCGATGTTTATTTTTTATGGATAAATATATCGAAAGTTCTCTTCGAATAGATAGTAACCTGGGCTTGCTTTCTGAAGTCAATGTTAGATGATTTGATTATTGTTTGATTGTAATTTCACTAATTTGAAGATGAATATTTTGTGATTGGAAGATCGTTCAATCATAGTATGAAAGTAGTGTGATCATTATTCAATAATGGACCCCAGTGATTCTTAGAAGGTTTGATTATTGTATAAAGATTACTCGGGTTTCGTTTGGGACGAATTTTTTGCTGCTTTTTAAAACAATTTTTTAGTAAAAAATAATAATTTTATAAAGTAGCAAAAAAGCTGTCCCAAACAAAGCCTCTGTTTTAATTTGAAAATTGTTTGATCATTTTTTGATTGTATATCCATGGCTGATACAATAGACAGTGCAATCACAACTACTATGACACAATATTACGCATTTTACATGATCGACAAAACGATCATGAGAAAATATAATATAATAGTCATAACATGGAGCGCAAAATTTTAAGAAAAGAAGCGCAACGGCTACAAAAAAGGGTTATGTAAACAAGGCTCAGTTAGGGTTAGAGCATGGTTGAATCATGATAGATACACCAAATATGTTCCAACACCTTGTATAAAGTAGACTAAAATACTAATACAAAAAAGTGTAATTAGAATGTATATAATACAATAGATTATGATTTCGTTTGTGATAATTTTTTTACTGCTTATTAAAATAAAATTTTTTAATAAATATTTTAATTATTCAACTAAAAATTTACTTGAAATAATAAGAAAATCATGCCAAACGATGCCAAATCTATAACAAAGAGTAAAATTAAGGCTTTGTTTGGGATGACTTCCGTAGTGCTTTGTAAAAAAGATTTCTAGCACAAAATTTTTTTAAACTAAACATTTTTGTACTTAAAAAATTATTTTAGAAAGCTGTAAGAAAGTTGTCACAAATGAAGTCTAAGGGGCTATTTGACAGCAGGATTTAGGCTGAAATTAAGGCAGATATGAGCGAAATCCATTCAAACAGCCTAAAAATGCAAAACCAAATCTCACGGCAAACGAAAGCCGCCGTAGGCGGAAAATTCCTCTTTTTGTGCTAAATCCCGGATTTCCGAAATTTTGTTTTTGTCGGATTTACGAAATCCATTAGTTCGAGAGGAAGAGTCTGCTCATTAAATCCGTTTCATAGCCAAACAGTTAGACAATATTTGATAGGATTTATTATGAGAGTTACCAAACAATTTTTAGAATTTAAACCCCTTAGAATTTCAAACTGAATTTAGAGGATTTACGAAATCCTTAAATCAAATTCCATGTGGTACCAAACAACCCCTAATAGTTGAAAAATTATTAGGTCCAGACACCAGACGTAGCTCTACATCCGGACGCCAATAACATGTTGCCACGTGCTCTTACTCTTTACTGTGCGGCCTGATGACCCAGACCCAGTATTGCTATGTATTGGCTGATTTGTGCATACTAGGGTATTGATAGGTATTGCTCGGTATTGGTCGGCAATAACGAGAAATATCAATCTGTCGAGACCAATATCTAGCAATACCAAGCAATACCTAACAATACCCCGGTTTTGCTAGGTATTGCTAGATATTGTTCTTGACAGAACTGTATTTCTCGTTATTGACAAAGCGATACCTAGTAATACTGAACAATACCTAGCAATACCGAGCAATACCTAGTAATACTCGAACATAACAATACCGGGTTCCGGTCTGGGTCAGGTCATTGGGCTGCACGGTAAAGAGTAAAAGCACGTGGCGTCATGTTATTGAGGTCCAGATATAGAGCTAAGTCCGGTGTCCGGACCAAATAGTTAGCCATATCTAATAGTCATAGATTACTATAGCAAATAACTTCGTGTTAGCGATTTGGGCTTTTGTGGACAAGCTAGAGAGCTCACTTAGGGCTGGAAACTCCGATCGTCATCGACTCTCACGGCAACCGTCGTCAACTCCGACGTTCCCACTTTCGATAGCTTCTTTGGACACAGTGGAGGTCAAGAACCCTAAATTGGATTCTTCTCCTACCGACTCTTCCTCTTCCTCGACTTCTATAGTCCTCGTACTTTGATGGCTGGCAATGTTATCAACCGAACCTCCAGCACGCCCATGAAAACTATTCTTCCCCCACAGGAGATCCTCGACGATCTATGCAGGTTAGTCGATTTCTCCGCTTACTATCCCGTTTTCCTCGTTTTAGATAATTTTCCGTATTTGCACATCAATCTCAGCGCTTTCTTTGATTTTTTGATGAACTTCTCGCTGTATGTTGGCACCTTTCTTCCATCGAGAAGGATTCTGCATTATTCGAAATTGAATGTTTCCGTAAACTTTCCCTCGCCAAACTTTAGAAAGCGAAGGCTTTACCACCAATGATACTTCCTCAACAAGGCTCCTGTATCAAGTCCCAAAGATTTGTAACTTTGATAGATAGTTCACTCTAAAACAATTGGCAAGGGGCGTGTCTACTCGTGTTAAAATTTATGCTTCAAATCTTATCTCAAATCCTAAATCATCTCAAATTCATGAGTCCTGGTGTTTAAACTTTTCATTTCAGGGGGGATCTCTGAAGTAACATATGCTAGCCTGATTGCTGTGAGAAGTACACAAGTATGAAGACGTTAATTTGTAAGTGATGTGTTACAAATTAACTCGATTGTAGTGAGTAGTAAGGAAGGTTTGATTATGATGTCACCCTAAGTTATGTACCACTTGTTGTCCCATTTTTTATGAAAAATGGGAAAGAGTTGATGATGTCTAAAATTAAGGCTAGATTTGCTACATGATATTTAAAGAATTTTAATGGGATGATAAGAGATATAGTGGAGACAACAATTAGAAGAAGAGTCAATGTCACTTGTATCCAAGGACTAAATGGAAAGGTAAGAAATTCCTGAATATTGGGGAAGTTTATAAGCTATTTTATGTATTATAAATGTCTTATTGAAGTTTTACTTAGTCTGTATGCCGATAAAGTTAAGAAAAAATATCTTGACCCTTACTCTAGCATGATTCTGTACAACAAAGAGTAATACGGTAAACTTATCAATGTTTGTGTATTAGAGGGCCTTGATCTTTGTAATGATATTAAATTTAGGTGTCATCTTAAGAAAGAAATGTTTGATGGTAGCCTTTTACGAGCAATTTGCTTTCGAAAACCCTCCAAAATGATATGAAATGCAACAATAAGTGATAAAAACGAGAACATTTTTCTAAACATAAGATAAAAATGATGAAAAATAAATCTCATAAAATTGAGTCATTAAAACATTCTAATATAATATTTAATGCTATAAATGTGGTTATTATGCTAATAAGTGCCTAGTCTAAAAGAAACTTAATGAGTTAAAGAGTTAGACCTTGATGAAGGATTAAGAAAAAAATTAATGTAATTCTTACTTAACTTTGAACAATGCGTTCCAAATCTACATAAATTTTCTCCATTAACCTAGAATTAGAGTCTGATTTAGATAACTTCTTAGACAAATGGGCACAGTTTGATTATTATAAATTCATAGTTGAAATGAATGTTTAATTACCTTAATAAAAAATAAAAAAGATAGTTTAAGTAAAGTTCTTACCCAAGTCTTTGATGACAAAGTCAAGAACAAAATACTTGATATTTTAGCTGAAAAAGGACACGTCTGAAGACTTTTAAACTTATAATGTTGTTGAAAGTCATAAAAATTTATCTAGTGAAAAGATAACCTCTAGTTGAGATTTAACACAAGAGATTAGTCATCTCGCTAACAAAATCATCTTGCTAATGAAAAATTCTCCTTGAAATAGGAACAATAACATAGTATAATTGTTTGGTTTGCCTTGAACTTTTTAACAATGACAAAAGAGAGACTTGTTATACTCTTATTGATGAGTCTGAATAAATAATTGTTGGTTTAGAATAACTTAACTCTTTACTAAAGGCTATTAAAAATTTCATTAACCTTGTAGATAGTAGTGTTGACATGAATTGCGTTCAAGAATGAATCATAATTTGAAATTTTTTGAAAAAAGTTCCCAGAGATTAACTTTAACTAGTGGAAATTAAATGAGTATTAAATAAAAATTGTAAAATGCATTTAGATTTCTACTTCATTTCTCTTTTTTAAATTTCTTTCACAACATATGATATTAGACACATCATTTCTAACTAAAATAATGCCTAACATCAAAATTGATAACACTAGAATCAAATAAGGAAAATTAAAAAAACAAATTATTTTTCAGCTTATCATTGATCCTAAAGAAATTATTTTAAATGTAATGAATAAAATTCAACCTAAAAAAATATAGCTAAATGTCCTTAAAGAAGAAGTTCAAATAAATAATATCCATGAAGAATTACATTGGAATTCCATCAAAACTAAAAATTTCCCTACTCTTATTAATAGTGCAGCTGGTATGAATTCCATTCATGGAGGGCTGAAGGAATCATTCCTTCCAAATATTTTGAAAAAATAATCCAAATATTAACATCAATTAGCTGAAATTAAATCAGTATTAAATAAAATTGTCAAATTCTATTAGTTGCAAATATGATATTTGTATTCTTACCCCATTTCTCTTAGAAAAAAAATCTTCCATAATGTATCATGCACACTATTTTTAATTTAAATAACTTGTACATCACAATTGATAACACTGGAATCTATTTAGGAAAATTTTAAAATCAATTTGTTTTTAACCTTACCACTCATGCTTAAAAAATGATTTTGAATGAAATGAATAAAATTCAGCATGAGGAAATGCTGTTAAATTTCCTTCAAGAAGAAACAAACTATCCACAGAAATTTTCATTTAGATTCCATCCAAAGTAAAATTTTGAATATAATAAAAATTTTTAATAATGAGATTTGTGGTGATAACCCTCATATATTTTGGAATAGGAAACTCATTGTGTTTCTCTTCCCCACGAAGTCAACTTCAATGAGAAAAACATTCCTATTAAAATTGTACTTTGCCAGATGATTAAAGATTTAGAGTTTTATAAAATGGAGATCCTTGATCTTCTATCCAAAAGGCTTATTTATAAGTCTTAGTTCTAATGGAGTTGTATGACATTTTATGTTATGAATGCTGTTGAAATAGAAAAAGGAAAACCTTGTTTACTTATCAACTATAAACCTCTCAATAAAGCCCTTAAATGGATTCACCATCTGACATTGTGATGCCTATCATCTCTTCAAAATTTGATTTAAAGTTAGGACACTGATAAGTTCAAATTAACGAAGAAGATCATATAGATCAATTCTTACTGCTCCTTTTTGGTCATATGAATGATGATCAGTTTGATGTTTGTTATATTTTTTTCATCATTATTTTGAACGAAACCGAATTGTTTGATTCGGCTCAACTTTTATAAAATTAACAATCTTCTTTCGCTTTTAAGAAATTTGGTTTGATATGGGTTGATTTGATCGGTTTGATGTTTTTTTTTATTATTATTTTTTAATTTTACTCAATGCTTGAGAGCATGCAAGTAGATTTTACATTAATAATGAGGCATGGTGGTGAAGTTAGGAGATATAAAATATTATAAAGGAATGAAAATGTACTTTTAAAGTGTGTCAAAATTGAGTATCTACGGCTTCTTGCGCGATTACGAGGAAGTCGGAAATCTTGTAAATAGGATAATGAGCAAAACAAAATTTATAATTTTTGATAATTTATATAATAAAGTAGATATTAATGAATGAGGAAATAAGGGATATAATATGGCTAAGGCAAGATATAGTCAATCTATATAAATTATAAATTTAAATGCATTGAACTTAAGATCTTAGTTAAAGATGAAGCCATTAAAGAAAGGGAAAAAAAATCTTTGATAAATTATTTAATAAAATTTTAAGAGAATAATTTTTTTTGGAAGAGTACAAAGAACAAAATTAAGATATATATATATATATATATTCATAAAAGTGAATTGGAGATATGAAGATGCATAATATTAAAGCTTTATCTCCGGCTATGATAGATGTTTAGATTTGGAGAGTAATTTGTAATATTGCAATATGTTGTTAACTATGTTAATGTTGAAAATTCTATTTGTTTTATGCTATGAAGATCTACTAAGGGTATGATTTTTTTGCTGGGGAAATAGATGAAAAAAAGGGAAGAGTTAATAAAGGATCTTTATAATATTTCTATTGATCTTAAATTGGCATACAATCAATTACAACGAGAACCGATTTGATATGCATTAAAAAATGTGTTAAGAGTATTTTGGATTTATTAAAGATATATATTACAATGTTGAATAGTATTAAAAATAGTTGTAGAGTTATTAGGGAGTTCCTAATCATAATCGATTGACATCAATGATCAAAATAAAGTCCATTCTTTTTTGTATTTTGTATGGAGATCCATAGAAAGGATATTTAAAGTGAGGAATCTTGGTGTATGCTTTTTATAGGTGATAGTTGTAATAGGTGATTCCAGATTAAAATAAATGAAAAATTAGAATAATAGAGAACCTTAGAAGATAAAGGGATTAAGATTAGTAGAATAAAGATTAAGTGCATGCTATGCTATTGTTATTTGACATTTTGTTAGTTGTCATTCAAGCAATCATTTTCCATTTTACATAACTTAGCTCCTTAAATAACCTGCTTGAGATTTCATGATGATAACATTGATTTTTAACATGTCACGTGGAAGGCACATAGCCCCTGTTTCCAAACTTTGCAACCAACTTTGCATGACATAATCTTTCGTCCAAAGTTTTTGTTAGCTTCTAATGTCATTTGATCTGATGTTACATTGATTTTTATATGTGTATGTTCTCTTTTCTTATTGTGGCCTGCAATTTTTAGCTAGATACATGATAGGGGAAGTTTGCATATAAGTTTCGTATTTCACAACTTTATGGTTAGATTGTTTCTTGCTGCTTTCAAATTCCTAAAGATTTACACCTGAATCTAGTATTTTTGGATGACTACTGGAATGTTACGTCAACACCAAGTTCATCACATCAACTGGAAATTAGCCATTACTTATGTTCACTGTAATTTTATTGCAGCAAAGGTTTCATTGTTGTGTGTAGAATGAATCACTTAAATTAGGGACATTTGCGGATGCAAAATTAAGCCACTATTGACACAATGTTAACCAATTGGGTTCCTATGAAATTAAAATTTTAGCAACTTGACAATTTCTAGCAAACTTAGTCAATCACATATCAGAAATGCCTTAGATTTGTTGATAACAAGTATCAAGATAGTTACTATTTTAAATTTACATGCAAAATGTTATCCGACCAAAAAAATAGCATCATTACTTCAAAAAATATTCTGCAAAAAGGTTGATAGTACAGAAAACTATAACTAAAAGATGATTTCAAGGCTTCTCTTTTGGAACAAGTTCATTTTCATGCATCAGAGTTTAAGATGTTTTTCTTCTTTGTTATCTATTATAACTGAAAATTTTGTATTTCTTGCAGCCGGTTTGTTTTGAATGTTCCAAAAGAAGATCTGGAGTCGTTTGAGAGGATCTTTTTTCTTCTTGAACAAGCACATTGGTTTTATGAGGACAATTCAGTTGAACAAAATCCATCTTTGAAGTCTCTTTCCTTCAAAGAGTTTTCATCTTTGAGTATCCAGCTTATTCACTTTTTTTCTTCAGTAATACATTCTAATATTTTATCAGTTACACTGCTAGTGCTTATCATCTCTTTCTTTTGGCCCATATATGGAAATGCAGATGAATGTAAAATATATTGATTAAGCTTTACCCATATATGACATCATAATCTCACGTGAAAGCAGTCTAACTAAAGCAAAAAATTAAAGAAATGGATGTTAGTAGGATGTGGGCTGATTCATGAAGAAAAGGATGTCGAGATGATTGTAGATAACATAATCTATATTACCGAATTCTTGTCAAAGCAATGGTAATATCATTATTGATATACCATTTTATTATAGTATATGCGATGCTACTAATGCGGAAAACTTCATCATTTTTGTCCTGAGAAGCACTTTAAATGTAATCATGCTATTTATATGTGAAATGATTACTTATGAAGCAGTGTAAGAATGAGGGTGCTACATATGATATTAAATCTATTTATTACAAATATTTTTAAATGGCTTTTATCAATACTACCTTAGGTATATTCCTTCATTCTTAATCCTTTGAAACAGATTTTACTTATTTATCTAATCATCTAATCGATTATGCGTCTACATTTTGGTTTAATATTTTAAAATCATCTATGTCTATTTTCAACTATTTAATCTTTAATAGATACTGTCCTGACCTTCCTACATATTCATCTTAATATTTTCATTTTTTTCATGCTCAAATTAGCTTTCATTGAATTTAATGCTCGACACATGGATCCATGAAAATAACTAACCTGATTGTTGTTTTACTATATTTACCTTTAAGAATCCATAATATCCTTTCAGTTTCCAAAATTCTTCCAAATAAAAATTTTGTGGTCTATTTAAAGTCACATTCATTTATTTCTAAGTACATTAGTTTAATGAAATTATAGCCCTAAAATGTCATGTCCATTCTGCTAATTAGTGATAATCAAGAAGTTTCTCATATTGATGGATTTAGGTATCTTTCTTTCTTTAAAACATGGTTGGCCTAATTTTTGTTCCTATTTGTTGCCTAAAGTCAAAATGCCCTGTCTTTTGTTCGGCCTAACCCCAGCCTTAAGCTTGCTTAGCAAATACATCAATGATACTTTAAATTTGTATATATATATATATATATATCCATGTAAGATACTTAGTGTTTTTCTACAAGTCTTTCAGCCTGACACCATGATCCCTTAATTAGATAATATGAAAGCTGGTTTACCTTGAAAGGAGGATGACAACTTGTGATGAGTAGTTACGAGCCCTTGTTAAAAATGTGTGGGGAAATGATAGGAGTTAGGCAAAGGACAATGATCTTATCTCTCCTAAAATATTCAACAAAAGATCAGGGATTGCACGATAAGGGAGATTCCACATATGGAGAACCATTAGGGATTGGAGCATCCATATGAGGAGCAACACAACGCGATATAAATTGAGTAGTTGGTGATATACATGGAGCGTGCCACATCCCATTTTTACCTCCTCCAAACAATCATGAGGCATTATAGAAGCGGATAATCCAACTAAACATAATTATCACAACACACATCCTGATAATTGAATGAGTGAAAATTAGTTGACTGGATCATCCCAAGATCTATATGACATTTAACAAATATCTAATAGATCCATTGTAAATATTGAAATGGAAGTGCATATAAATAAAATTATCAAATCAAATCTTGTGCTTCTAAAATAACTTCAAAAGTAAGTTCATTCCTACCAAAAGTCTCTAATTTGCATCATGTAATCTTCTATAATACTTTCGAAATCATATACCAATAACATTGTTGTATAGAACAAAACTAGACACCTTTCCACTATTCCACATGTTCCTTTCCTTTTCCCGAAATCATGGTATAACATCGAATGAGTACAAATTCAATGAGATAAATATTTTAATTTAAAGTTCAACCATATAAGTAAAGAATATAAAATGCCATGCTTATCATATGAAAGCTAAAAGGAACATTAATATTCAAAACATAAAAAACTTAATGCGTTACATTTAAATTCAATGTATACTTTATTAATTATATGTTTGAAGGATTGAATTAGAAACAAATAAAATTGTTGCCTGAAAGTGAGACTGGCATTAAATTTCTTATTTTCATTCTCTTACTCATTCTTAATGATCGTTACCTTCAATATGCATATTATACTTATAGGTTATTTCCTTTTTGTATCATTAGGTCATCTCACCTAGCCCTTTGATGTAGGTCGAAATATTTCAACTTTTTAGTATCAAGAGTCGAGAATTTCTTTTTATCTCCTTGACACAGGTTGGACCATTTCAACTTTCCATTATCAAGAGCTGGCAATTTCTTTTGAGTTGGCTTTTTTTTGGGTAGGTCATCAAAGTCAGCCTACCTAATTAACATGATATGACCTTTCATAGGATTCATTAAGTTTTAATCTCATTATTTCAAACCTAACAATTCTTTGGTATTGACATAAACATTAATTAATCATTTCATAATAATGCGCATTGATGAGAAAGCATTATACATGTAAAAGTTGATATTTTGATACTCATCTGTGTGTCATACGTAATTAGATAGTTTTATGCTTTAAATTGATGAGAATTAATATAAAATCATTTCAAGATGCGAGAAAAAATAGGGTATAATTTTTTGATAAATTTTATCTCACCTATTTGAAAATTTGGGTCTTATAGAGTGGATGCTGATGAAAAATATAGGATAAAGTGGTATGATGCCGGAATCAAGAAGTGGAGCATATATTGATAAGAGGTGAATCAGGTGATATAGAAAGAAATAACAAAGGTGCCATCTTAGGCGTCGAGTTCAGTGATGACGTAACTGACAACACCAAAACTGCTATAGAAGCATCAATGTACTATGAGTGCCCAAATGTAGATGACTCTAGCAAGCATACGTAGAGGCATTGGGATGTGCTTGCAGGGTGGGTCGGACAATATCATCGATGGGATGCATTGGACATGTGGGGGTTGTTCATACAAGATGCACTTAGGTCATCCGCACGCAGTGAGGGTGGACTTGTTGGCGATGAGATGCTTCCATTTTTAACACTAAATACATTTTTCTATTCATAAATTATTCTTTTCTCATTTGAATAAATTGTAAAATTTAGGTTTATGAGTCAAGCTATAATTACCACCTTTTTGGAATGGGGTGTTGTACTTCTATGTATTAGGCATTGACATTTTTTTATACTATTGGAAATATTATTTGATAGTTCATTTAAGAGACCGATCTACCCACACAATCCAAGTACTTTTTATCATGTGAACCTTGCAGGTTGCTTCTAACTGAGCATTTTTTATACAATACCTTATTTGTCACCTGCCTGTGAACATATTTACTTTTGAGTATGATTATTGCTTTTAGTAGCTTAATATTAATGTCCCGTTCTTAATTGATTTAAATTTTTGGCATTTATTTGATAACTTGAGAATTTTCTCTTTCCACCTTTCTGTGTTATTGTTTTCCTTAATGGTTCACAGTGTTTAATAATTGTGCTGCATTAAGACCATATATCAACCATCTTGATGACATATACAAGGACTTCACTACCTACAAGTTTCGGGTGCCAGTTAGTGGGGCAATTATATTAGACGAGTCTTATGAAAGGGTTAGCTGTTCTGATCATGAAAATACTACCTTATTCGTCACTTCTTTTCATTTCTTTGCTAATCTGTTTTTTTTTTTTTAAATATTTATCTCCAACTGCTCATGTCTTGCTTTACTCCCTGATATAGTAATTCATACTAGAAGCAGAAAAAGAAAAAAAAAGAAATAATACTTGAAAAGCGTGACTGATTTTCCTCTTTTCCTCTTTTTATACCGAACTATTAACTTTGGTATTTGGTTGTTCAATGCAATTCTAAGGCTAGTTTAAATTGTTTGCTATTGCTGGCTGTTGCCGAGATTATACAGATAGCCATGTTTGAATAAAGACAGCAATGTTAGCTTGAATTTTGTAGTATTGTTTAGTTTGATGTGGAATATTGATTTTTTTGTCTAGTGGGACTCTCAGTTTATTTTAGTTTCATTACATGCTAAAAATGAATATCAAGTATTTCGAGCTTTGGCATGTGCAGAGCTCATTGCAGAATGAATCTGTAGTAGAGAGGGACAACTTCTAGGTCAAATCCACCCTGGAAGATATTGATTAATGAATTATTAAATTTACTCAGCCAACTTTAAGGACAGTTGATAGAGGAACTATGCAAGAAGTGATCGTGTGTGTGTTTGTGTATATATATATTATTATTATTATTATTTTTTCAACGGGGGTTGGTGGTGGGGAAAGATTTAAACGAGAATTTGACTTTTAACAGGACACAATGGAGAAAAAGGATTCATGTAGCCGACCTCACATAGTGGGACAAAGGCTTGATGTTGTTGTTGTTGTTGGGGGATTGGTGGTGGGGTTTGAAGGTTGAGCATAGTAGATCTGATTCATTACATTGTAAAACCTTTAATGATCATTTTAGCTACTTCATTTTTATCTGTTTAAATTCTTTTTTTTTTTTTTTTTTTATTTTTCATATCCAGGTTCCTGTTTCATTGCATTGTTAACCTTTAATGATCATTTTAGCTACTTCATTTTATCTGTTTAAATTCTTGCTGTGTTTTTGTTTCTTTTTTGTTTTTTTTTTCATAATTTTCATATCCAGGTTTCTGTTTCCTGCACTTTGTGCAACATAAAATATGATCCTTCAATTAATTTATTATTATAAGGCATAGTGTTTGTGGTACTCATTAGAAGTATCAAACTTATTCTTGCATTCTTTTGTGTTGAGTATTTTCATTTATGTAATGTCTTTTGCAGTGTTTACTCGTGAAAGGTTGGAAGTCTGGATCTAGCTGGAGCTTTCCTCGTGGCAAAAAGAGCAAGGATGAGGAAGATCATATATGCGCATATCGTGAAGTAATTTCTAATGATGACTTGCCGAATCCTTTTCTTTTTTTGTTAATGACGCTTTAGTACAACAATGAAATGGAATCCTTATTATTGGATTAGTGCGGAGCTTTAGTGTTATTTAGGATATAACCTCCTTTCACAAAATTTCCTGTCTTATTGGTGCATCAACTATTTTTCATTGTACATTGTAAATGACAAATCATCTCTCTGGATCCACTATTATATTTTCAAGCGATTATACTCATATAAGCCCCTCATATTATCATTTCTCAGCCTATCCTTCCAAAAATTTCCTCCACCATACAAATATATTTTCAATATCCAAGTAATAACATTTAAGCAAAAGATTGTAAGCTTGTTTTCTGGCTTGCGTAAGCATTGCTACTTGCTAGAGTGAAGATGCTTATTTTATTAACCTCCGTAATACAGTGTTTAAGTTGAGTGAAACAGTTTTAGTTGCTTTGTTCTGACAGAAAGTTTATGACAATTAGTCTGCAATGCCGTGCCAATTGTTAGATAGATCAGGGACACGATAGCTTCCTTAATTTTCCCTCTAAATTCAACGCTAAGGTGTTTAGTGGGACTTTGTATGTGTAGAATGTAAATCCATAATCTCTCATACTCAGAGTCAAATATATCTATGGTGAATTAATTGATACGAACAGCATGACATTTAGAACCATGACATCTGACATGTGCAAATGGAGAAACAATACGGCAATCAAAGCTGTAGGAATTTGGATATCACAGATGCTTTGGGGATTCTGGCCTTTCCTCCATCTAGTTATCCTATAATTTTGTTTTTCATTTCATGACAGGATGGTTGTTCCTTACCTGTTATTAAACTGGTTGGTTTTCCCACCGCACAAACTACGCACCATGGCACTGCGTTCAATGGAATTCAGAACCAACCTTCTATTTGTCTTCTGTCTACCAGGTTGGCATTCATCTTTGTGCTATTGTAATTGAAGTATTCAATAAAGCATGTAGACATTGATTCTCAGAATATGGAACATGGACAAGATAAGGGTAGTAGACACATCAATTCTCAGAAATATGAACTATGAACATAGGTTGGACAATTAAAATTATATATTATATGAACAAAAATTGTGCAATCTCTTCCTTCACAATTATAATCATCATCATTATTATTATTAATCTTATCCTATAAATTTAGGATCTGCTTATGAATCCTTATTTTTCATTTATTTGTACCAAGTATTGCGTGACATTTTATTATAGATTTATAAATTAGTTCTGTCAAGAAATGAGAGTAAAACATAGTTCTTGTTATGTTTCAGAACTTTAATCATAATGTTTGTAATAAAAATGAGATAAGTTTTATGTAGTATTTGTCCAATACATGCTCATCATGTGGAGAGGTTTCCCTAAACATCATTAGGGAAGATTAGCATTCATAAGCTGACTAATGGGACAAATAAATTGAAGAGAGGCTACTTATAGAAGGACGGTGTTGACCTCGATATTTACTTCGCAAACGACCTAGTCAAATGCGACAAAAGTGGTGGACAACAGTTGCCGTTGTGCAGAAATGAGGTTCTATATGTATTATATAAATCAAAATTATGTAAATGTTGCTCATTTTAACGGATTGTGTCGAGGCTATTGGGGCATCAAAGTTATCAAGGAAGTACCAGCAGGTTGAGTCAATTGAACATGATGATAACGATGGATAACAAATGCAGTGTCATGCGAGTTTGGTTTGGAACATCTCTATTATATTAAAAATCACTCAAACATCTCTTATTTCATAAATCAGATCCTGTGAACACATCAGAAACATTGAACTTGCTAAGAAAGAAGGCCCATATTTCTCTATCTATTGCACAAAAGCAAGACAAACTATACCTGCACACGCACATAGAAGATGACGTTCAATTTGAAATGCACAAATGACAAATTTTGCGAAGAAACAACATATGCATCATATATATATATATATATATATATCTTCGCACTCCAAAAATCCATAAACCTTGTATGCGTGAGGTCCTGTTTGCATCTCGTCTATTCATCATTCAGAAAAAACAAAAAAACTAAAGCAAAGTTTTTGCTCCTATTACTCTTAGTTTCAATTGTTTACTTCTCTTTGCTTTCGAGCACCTATTATCCAATTCACTCCCTCTAACCCATATTTATGCCTCACTTGCCCTGTCGAAGCTTTGCTCTTGCCCTTCCTTAATTTTCATTACTCATATTATCTTACCCTAACTCTTCGCTACCCTTTACAAGAACTCCTCTTTGCAGACTTGCACGAAACTCTCACAAGCTCTACCTCGTACATCTAGCCCAAACCAAAGGCACATCTCCCGCTTCGCTGATCTTGCATAATACTTGCAAACTCTCAAACATGAAAGAAAATTGCCTCCTCGAACGAGCTCAACACACCGACCACTTCCCATTCATAACTTTGCTTCATTCTCTCACCCAACCACTAACAAGCCCACTTGCATAACAGATCAAAACTAACCTCTACTTGCCCCTTGTCCTCATTCAATCTCTCTTACATCCAGCTAACATGTCTCATGTTACCCTTTCTCAGTTCTTGCTGACCGCCTCCTTCCCTCTTTAAAAAAACTCTTCCCACCTCACAAACCCTTCATCTTTTCCCTTACATGCACAATCATCGCCGACAATTGCTACCACAATCACCACCAGCCATCCATCTCTTTATTTTTCACTCTCTCTCTCACTTTATTCCTCTCCTATTCTATGTTTCAGGGTTTATTATCTCGAACAATATTTTGATTCACCATCGAACTATATTTTGACCATCGAAAAATATTTTGATTCACCTAAAAAGAGTCTCAATAAGGGTAGCCATGCTTTATTCAGTGCCCCCAGCCAAAGAAGAAATAAAAAGAAAATCAGTGCAAAATGAAGAATGGAATATTGCTGTCTAAAAAAAAAATTAAAAAATGTTGAAGCAGTTTGAAGGAGTTTCATGTGTTAAATGAAAATATTCAATTGAACCAGTAGTCGATTGAAAGAGAAATCGAGTTCAAATGCATGTACTTGATTGGCTCATCAAATGCATTGAATTTGGGGAAATAGTTCCTACAAGGATGCCTAAATATTGTCCTTCAAGAATTTAAGAGATTTGCACAAAGTAGTAGTTTGTACCAAAATAACTGAACATCAAACTCAATTTTTTCAAAGAAAATTGTATCGGAAAAGTGTGCAGGTCATTAATAGTTTAGTTTTGTTGTTTATTAGTTTAGATATATTTTTCTAATAGTTTAGTTATATTGTGTAAAGGTTTAGTGATATTGATGGATAATATGTGAAGCGGGTAATTAATGGCATGAGTCCTAAAATTGATTCGATCCTGATACAAAATGTTTCACGATAGCCGGACAATTTTTTTTGAATATATTTAAACATAGCAGAGATTCCTTGCTGGTTTTGATCCATTTGGTTCTCTTAATCATCTTTTATGTCTGCTGGATCACATTTTGCCTAAAATGACCTTTTCTATGTTTACATGATTAATGCAGGTATTAGAGGAAACTGGATTTAATATTTCCAAGCTCTTGAATTTGGATGACTATATTGAAGTTGTAATTAGAGAGCAGAGGGTTAGACTCTACATAATAGCAGGTGTGAAGGAAGATACTGCATTTGCACCTCAAACCAAGAAAGAGATCAGCGTATGTTACGTGTACTCATCTTGGTCATTTCATTGTTTTGAGGAGTATATCTGCTTGAATTGCAGTAGTTGCACTGCTTTTTCCATTGGTATTTCTTCTCTTTTTAATCTTCGTTGATCCTTTTTTTTTTGCTGTGTTTCATTTTTGCCTAAAACTGTAACTTCAACAGTAGCTCCATTGACTTGTTTTGCTGATATTCTGTTTAGTTATCTCGTGTCTAAATAATGTTCAGTAGATTTATATGTGTTTCTTGTATTGTCTATCCTTTTCTTGTCAGTGAAAAAAAAAAAAAAAAAACTGAAAACAGAACTTCACTATTGTTGACAAGGTACTTATTCGTGAATGAGAAGCTCATCCGTTGTTTAACTCAATTGTTTGGAATACAAACTACAACTTTGAAGTTGTCTTTAGGATCCTGAAGTAGATGTATCAGAGGCTTGAGTTAAAAGCATTATGTATCCTTTTTCTATAAAGCATGATTTTATAACTAGAAAATGATATAGGCACAACAAGAGGGGACACGAATAACTTTTGATAGGGAGTGGCTTTCGGCTTTTGTGAGTAGACTATGAGAAAGAAGGGGAAGAAAAAAGATAGAAGAGTTAGCATAAGAGAGTCCACCTTCCTCTCTCTCTCTCTCTCTCTCTCTCTCTATATATATATATATATATATATATATATACAACTAACTTCCGTTAGTTGCCGAAATAGTGCATGGTGAGGCCATCTACAACCCCAATTAAAGACCTTTATTTTTTAATTTAAAAAATAATTTTCATTATTTTGTGGGTGTATGAGGGTAGGGTATGGACCCCCTCATGTGGCTAGTTGATGATGTCCTTATTTTCACTGCTTTTCAACAACACCAAATCAACAGAAGGAGGTAGCTTTGTTTACCTCAAAATCATTTTGCAGTTTTTTTATCCAAAGAGTGAACTTTTCTTTCATTATAATATATGCATACATATGATGTGTGTGTGTATATATATATATATATACACACACACACACTTGTGACTGATCCATGTGAATTCTATCTTTCTTGTAAACAAGCGAATTTTCATCTCCTCTGCAACAACATTGAGTGAGATGGAAGGCTCTCATTCAATTGAATCAAGATCATGTCCACTGATACCGAAACCTGCCACTGAATCATCGTGAGCTCAGCGTGAATGGATCGAGGTATGCCTGGAATTAGGCCCTTTCGGGCTTGTTCTGTCTGCTCCAAAATCAAATTGCACACATTGATGTGATAGATTGACATAAATTAAGAAGAAATTCTAATCGTATACTTTGAATTAAAAGTTACATTTGATGCATGCTTTTCTTCTTGTTGGATCTAAATATTAACGTTGGTCTGAAGTAGTGATTCTCCAAATTTAAATTGTTGCCTCTGATTCACTATAGGCTTAGTTACAATAGATACCTTTCTCTGTTGGTCAACCATTCATTAGAAGCTATGTTTATAATAGAGTTATATACCTCCAATTTTGCATTGGTCCCCTAATATGAAATCAAAATTCTCTTTCTGCTCTTTAAGCAGACACTCATTGTTTCTATGTTGAACTTGAAAACATTGGTCAGTTGTCATTAGGGGTGTCAAAACGGGTTTTCAGGTTGGGTTCGGGTTCAACCTGAAATTGATTTTTCATTGTTTGACCCGACCCGGTTATAGTTTCTGGTCAGCATTCTTAACCCGAACTTGGTCTGAATCAATTTTGGGTCAGCCCAACACGTCCCGGAAACCGGAATACGAAGATTAGGCGCAGAACCGCGGACGCAAGCTGGTGCGTGCATGACAACAAGGCACGAATGCAAGCGTGAAGGGGGCGGTGCGGACGTGGCGGCAAGAGGGTCCAGGCTTGATGCGGGCGTGCTGCGACTTGCCATATGAGTGCTGGTGTTGGAGGGTGCACCCACTACGCCAGTGCGATGCGAGCGCGGGTCAGCAACAGACTCTAGGGTTGGTCTGCATGGGTCAATTCGGGCGATTTTCAAGTTTTAGGGTCAACCTGAATCCGATCCGATTTTAAAAATGGGTCAGAAATTTGAGCTCAAATCCGACTTGTATGGAAAACAGGTTGACCTGAACCTAGAATTTTTCAGATCGGGTCAAATATTGATAACCCTAGTTGCCATAAAACCCTTTCTTAACTGCCTTTTACCCACAAATTGAGGAAACTCTGCCAATTCCTCCATACAGTGACTACTTCCTTCTTGATTCCTTAGAACCAAACCTGGACTTATTTCTACCAAAACTACCTACTCCACCCATCTTCCTTTTTCTAGTCTCCTATTTCTATTGTATCGTAGTCATGTCATTCTCAATTAATCTTTCTTTTTTTACTAACTTAGGAAAAATCATTGATTTTGGAGAGTTTTGAAGGGTTACCTAAGATTATCAATTAGTCCTTTCACAAACCTAAAAATCTTCTTAGGAGTGCTAATCAACTATAGAGGAGACCTTGCCAAAGCTTTGCTTGAACTTCATACTACATCTAAATCTTGCCACTTTGTATCATTCGGATAAAGGGATCTTATATTTATTGTTATGTTGATGGTGGTACAAACTAGTATGCATCTAAAAATTTATGACATTATAAAGTTTAATCTTTCTTAAAATATCTTCTCTTGTTGATGCAAACCTCACTTTTCTTCTCCTAACACAAACATTTCTAAATTTACCTTTATGTTGTTAGGATCATCGAAGAAATATCTTTTTCAATCCTTCTCAACTAGTATGCAATCATTGTTGGCTCTACAACGCCCTTGAATAAAGGTGGCTTCATATTTTGAAACACTTTCAAATGCTTGTCAGCCTCTTCTTCGTTATTGGTGCTCATCATGCTCTATATATCTCTCATTAGTGCTCATCATGCTATATATCTCTCTCATTAATTATCCTCCCTTCAAACTTGCCACATCATTATAGAATATGATGTCATAGCTATTACACTGCTCTATAAAGATAATTCCTTATTTCTCAATTCTTTTTTATTCATTGTATCATCCCGCTTAGTTTCTTTTAAGAACTTTGGTCATTGGTGATATCTTGTTAATGTGCCATGTAATCTTGACACCTATCGTCCATAGAAAATGGGAAGGGGGATTATGGATGAGATCTAATTAAGAGTCTACATAACTTATCACCAGGGAGCACAAGAGTTAGGGGATTGAGAGGGTGCATCCTTGAGTCAATTTACTTATTGATAAGTTTGGCCCAAACATGGTAATGAAAAGAATATCGAGAGATTGGAGGATATTGTACAAGTTTTTAAACGGTTTGACTTTGTAGCCTATATCCATTGTAGGGGGAAAGATATTTTATTGATCAAGAGATAGATTACAATTCTAATATTTTCAAGCCCCATCTCTGTTAATTGGATAATAAGGCTTGAGTTTTCATCTCAGTTGTGTCTCACATCTCTTTTATTATCAAATGAGAAGATGGGTATTTATAAGGTCAATTGGCACATCTTCATGATATAAGCATTGTGACCCACCCCCATCAACATGAAAATGTTTAATCGCTGTGTTAGACATAATAATTGTCAAGTTTGGGGCATGGGGTTTATGCTATAATGCATGAACACAACGATATAGACACGACATGGATACGGGATGGTCATCATAAAAAATATAGGACATGGGCATGATGCGGGCACATAATTACAATTTTTAAGTAGTGTATAAACATTAATATATCATCATATTAGAAATGGAAAATAATAATAAATTAATGTCATAATTACTTGTCTAGCACCAATTAATCTCTTAAATTGAAGAATTTGCATACATAAAAGAGAACTATTATATATATATATATATATATATATATATATATATAACACTACGAGTGAAGAGAACGATGAGAGAATAGTTGTATTCGGACATATCGGGCTTAAAATATAGCAGTAGCCTGCTCAGTTGGGCTCGCCTCGTCACAAAAATGACGAAGAGAAGAACTGGCGAAGAAGACGAGAAAACGAGAAGGTTCTGGTCTTCAATCTTGTGCTCTCTCCGTTTGGTTGGCTTGCCTGGTCGCGTAAACGAAGTACACGAGCGAGGGCGGTGTAAAGTGAAATCCTGAGGCATACAAACGGTGTAAAGTGAAATCCTGAGGCATACAAACAGTCAGGCACATATTCATGGATATATGGTTTGAATGGTCCCTGAACACCATTTATTTGATTAAGAGATTATTTGAATATAATTTTTTTTGTAATTTAAATAAATTTAATTATTAAATATTAGGAAACGCGTGTCTGTTTTAATTTAAATATTATTTTAATCCTACACGAATTTAATGTGTTCGACTGTTGACTGAATTTAAAATAAATAAATACAAAAAGAGAAAATAGACAGAATAAAGCTCAATGTCAGAGCGAATATAGACGTTACTTCGCCAAATGACACTCTTTTGATAACTTAGTTAATAAAATGTCGAAGAAATTGAATAAAAAGATTACCACCGTTTCAATTTCAAAATCTTGCTTCCTATCTTTTGTCTTCCTCAAACCGCACATAAGAGTTCAAAGGAAGAAGTCCTAGGCTCCAATGTATGCATTCAGTCCGTGATTCTATGCCTAAATCCTAGTCTCACGTCTGAACTGCTGCTTTCTCCCCCATCCAAATACCTCTCGGACTCCTCTGCAATTCCTCCTAGCTGACAGCCCTGCGGCGTTTTCCCGCTCTCACACGTAAGATTTGTTGAAGCACCCCATCCATCCTCCTCCGCCTCTACCTGTCTTCCGATCTTGAGTCCGAACACCGCACCCGTGCCTTAACCGTTTCGAGCCAAGCCCGTCTCCAAATGCTAGAATGAATGCCTCTGACTTTGCAATCCGTCAACCGGTCCGCCTCTAGGCCCGCACGATCGATTTCGCCTCCTTCAAGACGTCGATCAAAATTGATCAATCGGCTTGCTCTTGCTCTGTACGATCAACCCACGCCTCAGTCTCCGCATTCCCGCTTCAATCAAGCGAACAGTAGGTTGTCGGGTTTTAGAAAGACAGTAATAATAATTGTCATTTTCTATGTTCACAGAAGATTATCCTAATAAATCTTTGGACAATTAAATATGAAATATTAGCAATTGTAAAGTAGCAAGCATTCACCAATTTGAAGATCCGCTCCATCGATTTCTGATATGGGCGGATGAATTCCAATTCGAAGACCCGCTCCGTGATTTTTAATTCGAGCAAATGGTTTTAATTTTGGAAGACCTACGCCGTTGATTTTTAATATGAGCAAATGAATTTTAAAATTGAAAACCCTATGTCGTCGATCTCTGATCTGGGTAGAATGGTTTAAAATTGAAAGACCCTACGCCGTTGATCTCTGATCAAGGAGGGAAGAAACAACGACAAGTGTTGTCCCGATTTCCCTTTGTGGGGAGGGGACGCCGAAATTGCTTCGGGAAATTATTATATTTGGAAAGTGACTCAATTTGAACATTAATCGATTAATTCAATAAAAAAAATGTTAAAATTGCTTTAAATATTAATTAATTGATTCAATTAATTTATATTTAATAGAAGTTAATCGATTAAAATTAATTAATTGAGATTAATTAATTAGGAATGATTACTTAATTCCAATTAACTAGTTAATTGGAATTAATTGAAATATATTAATTGATTAAAGTCAATTAAGTAAGATTAATTAGTTAACTGAAATTAATTAATCAAAACTACTCAATTAATTAGAATTAGTTAATTAAAACTAATTAACTAATTATAATTAATTAAAGTTAGTTAATTAATTAATTAAAATCAGTTTGATTAAAATAATTGATTAGTGGAAATTAAGCAATAAAAACTAATTGGTTAATTAAAATTTAATTGAGATTAATTAATTAATTAAAATTTAATTGAGATTAATTAATTAATTAAAAGTAATTAATTGAAACTAATTGATTACTCAAAAAAATTATCAAAAAAGATATAAGTTTATAATTCTCCCATTGGATTTTGGGTTGTGTTTCTCGGTTCCAAATGAACCTAAAACCTAAGAACATGGATATTTTGTGTTTGGGAAGGAAAATATTGTAGTATTTGTTTGGAAAGTAAAAGAAGGATAGAGATAATGCTGTAATGATTAAGGCGATGAAGGCTGTGGCTTATAGAAATGAAGAAAAAAACCTAAGACTTGATACCATGACAAGATTTGTCAAGGATTGGTTGAGTATTTCATTAAAAATTTGTGTAGTATTTATATAATCCTAGGAGAGCTTCTAATAGGGAAGATGTAAAATCAGTGAATAATAATTACAATAGTCAACTGATTAATGAAATAACATTAAAATCTCTTTAATCACTGACTTGGCATGAAGTGAATAAGTAAAGTGCTATTTTTTCTATGCTTGGCTGCTTCTCACTTTAAGCAAAATGGTCGGGATTTGAAGGAATTCCCATTTGGAGTAATACTTATGTGAATAGTTTTTGCTGGGTTCATTGCAATATTTTTGCCATTCTGTGCAGGAAATCTCATGGCACCGCCTTGATGAAATTCTGCCAGCAACTGAAGAGGAATTTTCACGTGGAGCAAATGGTTTGAAGCTTTACATGGTTGCACCATTCCTAACGTCAGTATTTCTGTCGTTCGGTGACATTATTTGGTTTGAATATTCTTTCTTCTCTTAATCTTAGACCCCCTGATCCTGATTTTCTGCAGTGGATTAAAAGCATGGATTGCAGCAAATCCTCCCCCCGCCGGCCAGAAAACAGAGGCATCTGCAAAAGGTTACTGTAATTATCCCATTTTCTATTTTAATGCTTTAGGTTTCGTTTGGGACAGCTTTCTTACTGTATCTTAAAGTAATTTTTTAGTACAAAAATTTAAATTTTTGTACTAGAAAGTTGTTTTAAGAAGCAGTAAGAAAGTTGCGCCAAATGAAGCCTTAATTTTTTATTATGATGACTTCTCCTCAAGGCAAATGCTTACTGGACAACTGAGCAAGTTTAGAAAGGTTTGAGCTTCGCTAGTTAAAAATTTATCTCTACTTTTAAAAAGTAAGAAAAATTCGAAGTAAATTTTTTTATATCTCTACTCTCCTGCATGATATAAGGGTGAGTTTGGGTTTCCGTCTTCCAACTTATCTCTACTCTCATAGGTAATTGCAGTTACCCACAATCAGGCACAAGGAATGCAACACAACTAGAAACTAAGAGAAGAAGGTTATGATGAAAACAACTCACCCAACAATCAACATCAGTTCATAAGTTGTTGTAGCAGAAGGCAATGAATGCTATGGCACCTTTATGATCACTCATTGTTCAATGGTGATCAAACACATTGATCAATTGCAATCAAACACCGGATGATATGCAACAAATGCGAGTTCCCATGTGCCATTGTAGGAGGCCTGCTATATATGCAAAATGTCATCTACGAACCAAAGGCCAAATGGCTATAGCGAATGTAAATATCTACGAGCCGCTGAAGGGGGCCCATTCTACATTCAATATGTTGTCTATGGGAAAAGGAGAAAGAACTGTAATAGATGCAAGCATCTACAACCGATAGCAGGAGATTCGTTAGTACTCAAAAATCTACTTGCGAAAAACAACAAGTAGTGCACGATAGTCTACCTGTATAAAACGGGAAAATGACCGCAGTGCGACATCATGCTGCTCGATTCGCAACATTTATACTAGTGGATAGAAGACGTTTATGGGCTTCTATATAGAGAGTTGTGTACATTCAACTGATAGTTGTCCACACAATTAATCAACACCAAATATTCCAAAATTGTCCTCGCACGTGCACTACAATTTGTATACACACAAACACAAAAGATTGCATGTGTAATCAAATACCCGCATGGGCCCCAACGATCGTGTTATGGGTACACATGTGACATTTAGTGATGCTACGCAGGTCAGACAATAAACCCAAGTTCGAGCTCGATCCTCCTATACAGGTAGATAGGAGTCAACACGGCTCGAACCATCAAACAAATATACGGTTGCGGTATCAGCCATAATATTTGTTTAAATACGTTCATGTTAGACCTTTAAGATTTATAATAAGAAGAATTCACTAACAAAGATTTGAAGCCTATAATGGATCTCATCCATTATTTTCAATGAAGTAAAAATTGCTCATATACTCCGATGATGGCCATGTTGAACGTATATCTCACCCGGTGGGATTAATTCCAAACATTTGAAATGCCACCTAAACGCCACAAAATCCAAATTATCAAAAAATTCCAAAATTCAAATATTTAAAATTGAAATAAATCATCAAACACTTAAAACAAAATTCATCCATCATCCACAACAATTTGCCGAGGTAGACAAATTTGAAATACACTTCATCTCACAAAGAGTTAGTGTTTGGTTGAGAATATCACTAGGATTCATTCTCAAACCATCTTATGCTAGGAAGAACATGACATGTGTCCTCTAACCGACAGTTTTGCCACCAAATGACATTGTAGGTAAATATTATGAATGGGGCCCTCTGAATCGGGTGGTTTGCTATCAAATGACACCACTAAATTACGATTATTGCCAGAGTCTGTAAGCTCCCCAATGACATCAAATCTTTGAGATATGAATCAATATGTTATAATCGATAGGGCACAAAGCTCTCTGTTAGCTAAAGTAGATTCAAATTTGTCCCTTTAGACAAACATCCACCTAAGGTCTACAAGGTACCCTTGGACGATGCAACCTATGGTTGCCGACAAGGATCCTTCTGTCAGGTTGGGCCGACTACCTCCTCTGACTAAGTAGACCACAGACCACGTTGGCCCGGGACGACTGAACGATGTGATCTTGATCGGGTTCATCACTCCCCCCACCATCCGCTTTAAGTGCAAGATGATGAAATTTCTGATTTTTAAATAGCAACTCTCAAATATTAACCCATGTTGCTACTATATGCCAGATACCACGTATCTTCAATAGAGGTGTCAAAAATTGACATGACCCGAAAACCCGACTTGAACACGACACAAATTTCGGGTTCGGGTCCTGATTTTCGACCTGCTTTAAATTCCAAGTTGGGTTCGGGTTGACCCGAAAACCCGACAATGACCCGGTTTTGAACTAAAGAAGTGCACAAAAGGGAGAAAGTTAGCTTCACAACGAGCCAACTTCCATCATTGCTTTCGATTAAAATGTTGTAACTTCCGATCCGATGGGAAGGGAGCGTCGTCCAAAGAGCGAAGTCGAACAACATTGTCACAACGAGCGAACTCCTGTCTTTGCTTCCAATCAAAATGTTGTAGCTTACGATCAAAATGTTGTAACTTCCGATCCGATCGGAAGGGAATGCCGTCCAAGGAGCGAAGTCGAACAACAATCTCATAGCGAGCAAACTCCCGTCGTTGCTTCTGATCAAATGGTTGTAACTTCCTATCCAATCGGAAGGTAACGTCGTCCAAGGAGCGAAGTCGAGCAACAATGTCACAGCTAGTGAACTCCCGTCGTTGCTTTCGATCAAAAGGTTGTAACTTCCGATCCGCTTGGAAGGTAATGTCGTCCAAGGAGCGAAGTCGAATAGCAATGTCATTGCGAGCGAACTCCCGTTGTTGCTTCCGATCAAAAGGTTGTAACTTCCAGTCCGATTGGAAGGAAAGTTGTCCAAGGATCGAAGTCGAACGTCATCGCGGGTCGGGTTCGGATCTAAAAAATCGACCCGTTTGTAAAAATGGGTCGGATTTGGGTTGACCCGAATAGTACCAGTTCAGTTCCGGGTTCGACCCAAACCCGACACGTGACCTAAAGTTGACGCCCCTAATCCTCAACGTATTTGATTGATGTTTAGCTTTAATTGAAAGTTCTCTCTTGTTATTGGGAGGGATAATTAACTATAAGGGCTTGCGCCTATCGGAAAACAGAATTCAGATCATAAAGTCATCGCAAAATAAGAATGAAATATATGGGTAGTGACTTTTCTACAAACCTAACATGCCTTCTCAAAATTTACCTCGGAACTTAATCTGTTAAAACTCCCCGAATGCGGGGGAGGCCGGGACACGAATTTTTGGAGCTGACAAGGGTTCAAGTCCTTTCCTCTGCCTGCATTCAAGTGAAAGTAAACACCCAGGATTGCAAGGTAGATCAAGACAATAATAGAGGTTTTCTTTCTTGGAAAACTATGATAGAGCGTATAAAGAAGATTGATCCATGTTGGAATGATTCTAGCATTTTTTTTCCCATGAGAAATCCTAATCCTCTCATCCCTCTTACCTGATGTAGCCCGGATGTAAACATCATTGACATGGGCGCTTACTACCATCTTATCCTCAAGGAATACATTCCTGAACTTGTAAAAACTTTTTGGTGAAACTTGGCCTTATGACTCCCAACATCCCGGCAAGTGCTTACTGGTAAAACTGACAATAAACACATTCAATTTCTCCTTCAAAAGCATTTATCTACTATACAAATCTAGCTAAAGCCCATCACAGCCGATGTCTACAACAACATCAAGTCTTTGTTCCACTATGTGGGGTGGGGTCGGCTACATGAATCATTTTTCTCCATTGTGTCATATTAAAAGTCAAATTCTCATTTAAACCAAAATCTCTACTTTTCTTACCATAAATAAAATCTAATACCTCTACTTTTCTAACCTGGTCATCGGGAGGCTGCGGAGCCAATGTCTACAAGCACTTAAAATATCTAAAAATCAACCAATCCGATATTGAAAGTTTCTGTACTAACAATCATCAATTCAAACTTGAACAGGTGTATGTGTGTGGAAAGTGAAGAGCAATTCAGGTTCTGCTTCAACTGTTGAGAACCCACTGCACAAAGTGCCATCTGATTCTCACAACGCTGATGTTAGGCCTGGTAGAAGCTTCAGAAATTTCAGATTTGATATTCCCAGCATCCTTCAGTCAATGGAAACTGCTTTCTCTGCCAAGTGAGATGTAAATTAGCTTCTCGCAGCTGAATTATATATACTTAGCATAGCCAAAGAGAACTTTCTATTCCCCTTAAGAGAAATAAAATTCTTAGGGGTTTTATGTAATGATTTCTAGGCTGTAAAGGCTTAAATATGACCTTCTAAGTTGCTTAGACCACCATACTGGTCCTTCAGTATATAAATGTCCATTCCCTGTTTGGAGAAATTATTCTGCGTGAATACCAGATTGACTGTTCAAAGGCAAATCAGAGCGCTTCATATCACCTGTTACACAACGGATACATAGCAGAGAGGTGACGTGGCGTGCTCTGATTCGCTCCGAACAACATTCGATGTCCGCACAGAATATAATTCATCTCCTGTATGAAAGTCAACTGCCTATGATGCCTGAGAATTAAGTTTCTAAGCTGTTTTGTCTTTTTATGGGAGCTTTGTTTTTCTGATAGATATCATATTACATTTTAAAGAGTTTTAAAGTGAGCTAGCTAGCTCTATCTGGGCCTTTGATGCCTTGCATAATTTGATTTGCATGGATAGAAGACTGGAAATCTTCATTATTTTTATGAAAGAAATATGTTTTCTTTTAAAATAATAATGATTGGGATTATGGATAGCCTATCTAAGGAGCAAATTTGAGCCATAATATAATAATTCAAATTTGATTAAGATGATTATTTATTTTGAAATTAGTGCAATAGATAGTTAATCATTAAAAAGTTAGATTGCACTAATTTTAAAGTAAAATGTACAGTTATGAAGTACAGAACTACAGTAATTTAAAACTTCCCGTCCGCACTCCGCACCTAATAATCTCTCAATTATTTGACACTTATGAAAGTTATAAAGGTATGCTTAAAGAGAGTTAGAAGTCTTGAAATAAGCTCAATTATATCAAGATATTTACATTGGAGCTCAAGGATTTAAATATTAATGGTTAATAGGTTGTAACTTTGCATTTAGTTAATTCACTCATATATATCAAAGTCAATTTTCAAAGTCTATATATCATTAAAAATTCATCTTATATCTTAAAATATATTTTAATATCATTGGCATAAATTAAAAAAAAAAGTGGAACAATTTCCTTAAAAATTTTGCTATTTATTTTACATATAATTAATCATGCTTAAAAAATCAATATATAAATATATTAAATGTTAATATTAAAAATTATTTCTCAAAAACATCAATCATACTATAAATCATATATAGATAAGTCAATTTCAATAATATTTTCATTTTCATAGAGCAATTAGATCTAAATTGTTTTCCAAAAGCTGAGTCAATAGAATTCTTTCACAATACATATCCCTTTGAACTGAAAAGCTCTTCTACTCATCATGTAACAGAAAAAGTGCTTCTGAAAACACAATTTTGTAACTTATTTTCACAAAAGAAAACATATTTGAACAATTTATGTGTAAAAAATCAAATAAGAAGCATAAAAAGGCATTAAGAACTAACTACATATTCACCTGAGATGCAAAATCTATGGCTGGAAGAAGAACTAATCATCAGGAACAAGATTCAGAACAATATTATACAGTAAGAATCACCATTTTCTACTGTGTATTGTTGAATAAACTCAGTGTATACCATGTTGGCTGGAATCCATTGCGAGACATCTCCTCCATCCATTTTTCAGCATATTTCCTGCAACCAAGTTTGCAAAAACCATGGACCATAATGTCGAAGGTCCATCGATTGGGCTCATAGCCCTTATCTTTTATCCTATAGAACAAATTGCAAGCAAAGTCCATTCTCCCTGTCAAAAATGATCCCCTTAATAGTACATTATATGTATAAATGTCAACAGGAAAGTGCTCTTCAATCACTTCATCAAAGTTTTGTAGGTTCTCTTTCATTCTGAGACCATTTGAAAATTCTTTAATAAGGTGTCCAATAAGAAGATCTCCTGAATTTGCATCTCTTTCCCAAGCCTTGAGTAGTTTCTGGCCCTTCAAGATATGTAGCAGGAGGACATTGAAGATGAAGGAAGAAACCTGGTGACTGGTTTCCTTGAAATCCTTGATAACTTGAATGACAAGATCATAAGAGTTGGAAGAACACAAAGAACGCACAAGCTCCTCATAGCATTGAAGACTTGGTAGGAGCTCCTTTTCTCTCATCTCCTTCCATATCTCCACAGCATTCTCTGACCTTCCAGCCTCACAGAGACCATCTATGAAAACATTATAGAGCTTCCTGTTCACCATATGTTTCTTCTTTAGAAGGTGGAAGAAGGCGAAAGCATCACCGAAGCGGCCGCTCTTCATATAGCAACGCAAAATCAGAATATCTGTGGATAGGTTGGGCTCTATCCCTGCATTTACCATCCTGTTATACACTTCCATTGCCATTTCAGGTTTCTTGGAGTGTGCAGCTCCGTCGATGATGTAATTGTAGCAAGTCCGGCGATCTTGTCGCTTGATTTCCAACTGTTTGTTCAGCAAATCAAAGACAAGATCAAACATTTCCATCTCACACAAACTACAGACCACCTCCCTGTAAAGGCGCCGGCCTGGCACAAAGCCCAGCTCCTGCATCTGGATGAGCAACCCAGGAGGAAACTGTAACATTCTCAACTTTATAAATGCCCGAATCAAATTGCAGCATGTAGACTTGTACATAGTAATGCCAGCACCAATTCCATCAGCAGTCAAAAGCTCTGAGTAAGCTTCCTTAACTGCACCAATCTTGCACAAAGCTGATACATAGCGAGAGTGGATAGGCGCGGTCGACCTTAATTTCCTTTTCAGAGCTTCGGCGAGTAGACTACGAAGCTTCTCAAGCTTTCCATGTCTGAGGAGGACATTGGCAAGCTGAGTGAAGGTCTGATTACCAGGGAAGTAGCCCTGGTTCATGCAATCCTCTAACACTCTCAGAACCTCGTCGACATTTCCATCTTTACACAGGGCTTTGATGAGATGGTTGTAGACAATTCTCTTTGGTGCGATTCCAATCTCCATCTTCAAACTGTAGAGTTTAATCGCCACATCAACCATTCCAGCTTTGCAGAAAAAGCATAAAGCTGCGTCCATGGTGTGCTGATCTGGGACAATCCCTTCCTCCATCATCTCCACAAGGAGATCACAAACTTCCTCAAGCAAGTTCTGCCTTAGCAACCGCTGAATAATTTGATTGTATTGGAAAGTGTCAAGTAAGTGTTTTTCTGTATCTGTACCTTTCTTCTTTCTCAAAAACTCCATGGCCGCATCAACCTTTCCAGCTGCAAGCAGATGGCTGATCCAAGCGCCATAGGCCTCTGCATTGCTGAACTCATCAACGAACTGACTGGCACATTCGACCTGCCCAGCCTTGCATAAAGCTTGAACAAGAGTTCCTACGGTGCGATCGGCAACCACTCGATGGTCGCAAAGATAGAGCTTGCGGAGATAAGTAGCGGCATCATCCAACCGGCCCTGGCGGCAGAGCCGCTTGACGCGTATGCAAGCCGTGACGGGGCCAGCAAGGCCGCGGGCGTCGATCTGGGTAAAAATAGAATCCGCGAATTCAAAGAGGGATGCCTCCACAAGAGAGTTAAGGAGGACATGGTAGCAGAAGTCGTCGAGGTCGGAGCCATTATATCGCATTCGAGCAAAAAGCTGGAGGGCGCGCTCTGCGGACCCTGTTACAGCGTAGCCGATTACTAGCGCCTGGTAGAATCTGGGATGACCTTTGCTGCCGCTAGTAGCGGCGGCGTCAGCATCAAATGAGAGGGAGAAGTAGCCAGTGGCGGAGAAGCGACGGAGGCATTCCCTGACAAAAGAAACGTGGCGGTGGCGATGGAGGAGGCGGAATATGGCATGGTAGACGGAGCGGGAATGGAAGTAGCCAGGCTGACGGCTGCACCATTCGAAGAAGCGGATACGGAGCTGAAGGAGGGAGCTTGAGGCGTCAGCAGAGGGAGGAACGGTGGAGGGGTGGGGACGGTGGCGGAGAAAACAGAGGACAAAGTCTTCGGAGAGGCGTACGCGGAGGCGGGAGAGGGCGGCGTTGATTGCTGAACTGTCCTCCGAAGAGGCGAAAGCACCGTAAATCTGGTCAAGGAGGTGAGGGAGTGGATCGTGGCCGCGGCGGAACCAGTCGGAAAAGGAGGAGATTATGTACGAGGACTCCAGGTGATCGAGAGGGAGTGGCGTATTCACTTGGGGTGCGAAGCCGAGCGGAACTGCCCCACCGCCTGCTCCAGAGGCCGCTGCTACGGGGGCCGAGTGAAGGAAGGATGACGAAGAAGGGATCAAAAACTTGCGGAGGAGATTCCTGGGCGAGGGTTTGACAAACCCTAGCATTTGAGGCGGCGGCGGAGGTCGTGGAGCTCAGCTTCCTCCCATTGCTAGCCTGACAATAAACAATGGGTGAAAGACTTAGCCATTGGTCAGTGCTTAGTTTGGTGAATTTCAAATGGAAATTCATCTTAGAGCTTAATTTTGAGCATTTTAGAATCATTAGTAATGTGACTATTTATATCTTAATGAAATATTGTCATGTGGCTCTTTGAAAAATAAATTCCAATTAAATTTTTGAGGAGTTTGAAACTCCTAATTTAGTTAAGTTTTATGTATTTAAGAATTGGTTGATTTAATCGATTTCTCAATTTCTAAATATATCACATGCAGTCGTCGTTGCCGCCTATCATGACGGTCAGTCTCGGACACAACCGTATAACTAGAAGCCAACATCATAGTAAACCTCCACCGTCTCTGTCTACTATCATCATCATCACTCGTTGCTGACCACTATCGCCCACAGCCCGGCCCTTATCAGCTGACCACCACTATAAGATATTACACTTTAATTTTCTTGTATGAGTTCTTTTTTTATGAAGATGAGAGATCTATTTATAATTTTCATATAGTGGCATGGCCAGTAAATAGTGAATCAAGAGTATATTGTAAGTGGTTTGAATGGACAATCGATATTGATCCCTTTGATCGTGGACCGTTTACTGGGTATTTGAATATCCTAATGATATCAAAATTCAACGATCTTAGGCTCGTTGGATTCATCTCGTCGAGCCTCTTGATTCAACTACAAGCACGTCACATTCAGAGTTCATTTGTTAATCCAAATTATGGTTTGATCCTTCTAAAGGAGCTTCGGGTCTTCGATTTAAACCCATTTGGGCTTGGATTGAGTCGAATTTGGTGTTGTTGGGTTCGTCTTTTCGAGACGATCAATTTTACAATAACAATAAATTTGCTGATCAGAATTTAATTTTGAAAGTTTTCAACTTAATTTTACCTTGAGATTCTTGCCCTATCAAGTTAAATTTTTGATGATATATCAAGAAGCATCAAGAAATATAATCCATTTCAGAATGGTATGCTTGCTTAACGCTCTAGCTCAGGGATCAATCCTTCTCCCCAACTCGCAGCCAGGATTCGATGCTTTTATCTCCCAACAATTTGTCTTCTTTCTTCTCGCTGCAACGGAGGAGATGAAAGCGAGACCTTTAAGCTAATCTGGTTGGCTTTTGCATTTTCTTTCAATCGGTCATTCCATCTCTTCTTCAGTGAATATTGCGGTCAATATTTAGGGTTTCTCTCACTTTTGTGCAAGGACATCTTAGGTTTTGTTCAGCTTTGAAGCATTTGATGGAAGAAGAGGATTTTTCTTGGCCTTTGAATGGAGAAATTATATCTTTTGAGTAGGTAGCTGGTTTCTATAGAATAGATGAATGGGACTGTGAATGCTTCTGCTCCATCGAAAATGAGTGAGGTATTCGGTATTCCTTTTTATTGCATCAAGATCTGCTGTTTTCAGTGGTTTTTGCAGTACATTTGGACTATTTGGGATCCTTCCTTGGTTCATTAGTTGGTTTTTGTATTCTCTATCCTCCAATTGAAATAAGAATTAACTGTCTTTTTCTTCTATGTTTTTTCAACAGAATTGATCAATGACATTGAATGAAAATTTCCTCCTCCATTGATTGTAGGCTTCTTATCGATCGGTTTTGTTTGGTTTCTTTGATTTGAGCTATTTATGTCGGTTGCATCCATGTTGTCTCATGGAATTTCTAGTTTTTTTTCCCAGTTATCGAGTTCCTTTTCCTCTTCTCTAACATATTTTAGTTGAGAATCTCAATTGTTCTTTCTTCACATCACTCTACTGTAAGTTTTTTTTAAATCTTATGTATCTTCAAAGAGGATTGTACCTTATATGTTTGGCTACTTTTAGTTTCCGGTAGAGATGAACAGTGCAATGCCAATATTGGCGTGGCACTGTTCACCCATGCGATTTTTCCGTCTCAACCGAATTTGGCGAAGAAACACGCAAAAGAGTAGAAAGGCAGTTACCTTCATAGAAGCGCGCAAAATGGAGTTTGATTGGAGATGAATCATGACATTTTTTAATTTCACTGTATTTTGAAGTGAAAAATGAGATTTTCAGTTAGAGATGGCCTCAGGCCCCAATTCTATCTTTTTTATGTTCCTCATTATCTTTGTCTTCTGTTAAAATTTGTGCATGATCAAGTAAGGATTTGTATGATCCCAACAATAATCATTCTTGTGGCTGAAAATCGTGCTTCTTGATTGAACAATTCTAATACTACAAACACAATGCTTGCTTTGTTATAGATGAAATCAATTAACTATCCGTAAGTGATTATAGTTATCACGTTTGATTACAGGTTGCTGTTGAGAGGCTTTCCAATGATAAAGCGGTCAAAGTGATTTTTGTTTTAGGTAATCATAAATCCTTGGATGTTTTGTATGTTGCTTAGGCACCATTTGAAGCTGAATATGCAGGGGGACCTGGCAGTGGAAAAGGTACCCAATGTGCAAAGATTGCCAAACACTTTGGTTTTACACATCTTAGCGCTGGTGATCTCTTGCGGGCAGAAATCAATTCTGGTTCTAAAAATGGGTAATCTGAACTTCGTTTTGTTTTGCAATGTTTAGCTTATTTTGAAGTGATTTTATTGACTTATCTGATTTTTTATTTTGCTCCTGATGTCATTTGATTAGAACCTTGATCGAGAGCATGATAAATGAAGGAAAAATTGTTCCATCAGAATTCACAATCAAGCTTCTGCAACGTGCGATGCTTGAAAGTGGAAATGATAAATTCCTTATTGATGGCTTCCCCAGGAATGAAGAAAATCGTGCTGCATTTGAGAATCTTGTATGTTCTTCAACCTGAATTATATAATTTATCAACTTATGAACATATAAAACCTGTGGTGCTCACTCCATGATTTGATATTGTCAAAATTTTTTAAATTTGTTCATGCCTTAGGAAAAAATAGAGCCAGAGTTTGTACTTTTCTTTGATTGCCCGGTGGAGGAGATGGAAACAAGGATTTTAAATCGCAATCAGGTTTAAAAGTGTATAATCTTGTTATATATTCTCTTTCACTCAACAATCATAATTAACTTGACGAGCTAACTTAGGCTTCGTTTGGGACGGCTTTCTTCTTGCTTTTTAAAACAGCTTTTTAGCACAAAAGTGCTTTCTAGAACAAAAGTTTCTTGAATTTGAAATTTTTGTACTAAAAAACCGTTTTAAAAAGCAGTACGAAAGTTGTCCCAAATGAAACCTTAATTTAATCCAGGGAAGAGGTGATGACAAAATGGAGACCATAAGAAAGCGATTTAAAGTATTCATTGAATCTACCTTACCAGTCATCGAGTTTTATAATTTGAAGGGAAAACTCTACAAGGTAATTGAATATCTTGTAGAACGAGTAGGAAAATTTATTCAAAAATGGAAACGATTCATTTACAAAAAAATTTCTAAATTGCAATGTATCATCATCATCACCATCATGTAAACAGTTGATTATCATCATAATTATGATGATGACAATCATAACTTATGAAGAATTTGTTATTTTGATTAAAGATGGCATAATTTTAAGCATCATGAAAGCAATTATATAGCTCCATACTCTTTCCAAATGGAGACAAATTGTGTAAGCATGGTAACATGCATGGATGTCCATCTCTCTCTTTCCACATTACTTGAAGTTTACAATCTTCCACAATTCTGATAACTTCACAGCTCGTCTGAAAATAACTTGTTTGAACCTGTTAGATTGATGCTTGTAAACCAGCAGACGAAGTATTTGAAGATGTAAAGGCCATCTTTTCCAGATTTAGAGCAAAAGTAAGCTTCTTATCTCAGCAATGCAGCTATTCTCTTCAAATATCATCTCTCTTACCCACACTTGGTTTTTTTTTTGCAGGAAGATTCCTCCCAACAAACAAATATCAGTACAGTCAAGAGATTTGAACTTGTGATGTGCCTTATGAAGAGGTGTTTGTTCCTTAATCTTTCTTTTCTTGAATGGTATCATTAGCTAGAAATAGTCCCTCAACTATTCGTTTATGGTAATTTAATTTTAGAGTATCACATTGCTTCAATTTAATCTCTCAAGAATACAAAATTGATCTAAATTGGTCCCTTTGGGACTAAATTGGGATCAATTTTGTATAATGTAAGAGCTAAATTGGGATCATTTTTATACCACAATTACAACATGATGGATGTTTTGAATCAATTTTGAAGACTGGAGGGACTAAGGTTTCATTTGGGACAGTTTTCTTTCTGCTTTGTTTTTCAAACTGCAATCACAATTTCTATTTGTCCACTACATTTTTATTGTTTAAAAAAAACTTGTTCTACAAAGTTATTTCTACGATAACTTTAAAAAATTACTTTATCTACAACAAGTTCACAAAGCAGTAGAAATCAGTCCCTAGCAATATGACTCTGGAACTAAAATGACCACAATAAATAGTCGGGTGATTATTTTGAGATTTATCTATATGAGATTGTAAGCTATAGTAGTTCACTCATACTTGGCTTGTAATGATGTTTTGCATTTTAACAGGCTGTTTAGAGAAATAAAGAGAATGTGGAGCTGCTTCTTCTGCAAAGCGAGTGCAGGGTTGGAGAACTATTAACTGGAAGAACTTGGTGCATATTATCTGTATATAATTAACCACTGTAAATGTATATAGAGTACCCTACAAGCCTTGTATGCATCTGAGCTTGTGTTACCTATTCATCTATTGAAGAAAGTATGAAATGATTATGTAAGAATCCCAATATTCATATTACCAATAAGCTACTTTCAAAAACAGTAAAAAAGCTATCCAAAATGAAGTCTGAGATTTCTTTTTCTTTTGAGACAGCATTCTTTTGAAAAATTATTCTGTGCGGAAGCTGAATGCAGTCCGGAGACCAATCAAAAAGTGTCACGTCGTCCTTTTATTGTACCCGGCTCGGTACTGCTCGATATCACGGCTAGGTATCGCTCGGTACCACGTCGTACAGACATAGAACTGTATCTGACGTACGCACAGAATAATTTTTCCTTTTTTTCTACTTCTTAAAGCAGAAGCATTGCTTCTTAAAGCAGAATCAATAAGAAAGTTGGCCTGAATGAAACTAAACTAGGTTAGTGGTTGATGATATAGATAGGAAATCAACCTCTAATTAGCATTTAACATAAATATACATTAATTGGGCTTAATTATCCCTTCCAAATACAAATAAATAATATTTTTAAAAAATTACATTAATTTATATTAATCATTAATCAAAATTTATTAAGAATAAAATTAAAAATTAAAATTTATTTTGAACATAATAATTAATTAGTTCTATATTATATTTATCTTAAAATAAATTCAATTTTAAATTTAAATAGATTTAGTCACGATTAATAATTAAAAAAAAATTATTATATTTTATCTTAAAATAAATTCAATTTTAAATTTAAATAGATTTAGTCACGATTAATAATTAAAAAAAATTATTATATTTTATCTTAAAATAAATTCAATTTTTTTATTATAGTAAATGGTATAATAATAATAAAAAATAATAATAATAATAACAATGGTTTTCTGCCCACTTATGGAATCGGGAATGCCCACACAGAATGTAGTAATCAGTAGGTTTTGAAGGGTTTCGTCCGCCGTCGCCGCCGGACAGCAGCCGCTGGAAAGTGGAAGCAAGATGCAGCGGTGGTTAGCAAAGCTCGGCCGTCCTCTTCTCTCATCTTCCCTCCATGTCTTTCCTTCTCGATCTTCGAATCCCGTACCTGTTCGGTTGTTTTCCTTAATCAGATCCATTAACTCTTCCGTTACCCCGTACGTCCCGATCTGCCCCTCAAGGCTGATTGCGCATTCTTCGCCAGTCTTCCCGGTATGATTTGAATTTCTTTTCACTGTGATTCCTATCAGAAATACTCGATCTTTTGTAGCGCTTTGTCGATTATATGTCTATGCTTGCTCAAAGGTTTGTTTTTGATTTTGGAGAAGGTCCAGGTTTTGCAGTCCCGGCACTTGGCGACCAAGAAGGTAAAGAGGTCGAGGGCGCCGGACACGCCTGTGGTATCGAAAGTTAAGAAGTACAAGTTGAAAGCTTACTCGTAGGTTTGATCTTATCGTCTTTTCTATCTCTTCAGAATTTTGTCAGAGCTTCTGCTATTGAATCTGTTGATTCATTATTTGGTTAGTTATGTGATTTGAGATTTTTAGGTCATTCAAGTACCGGTTTAGGACGATGAATGATGGTCTGATCCGGCGGTGGCGGGCTGGGAAGAGGCATAATGCCCATTTAAAGGTGTGTCTTCTGGTTCATTTTTTTGGAACAGCATGTGTACAGTTTAGAAGAAACAGAAAATCTGAATAAATTTACCGAATTTTCCCTGCTATTTTTGTGCTTCTTCTGATAAATGAACGTTTTTCCTGCTAATGATGAAGGAATCTGGAATATTGAAAGTGAACTCTTACAATCTATGAGGAAGGAATTTGTAATTCGGAAGATTTTGCTAAAATTTCAAAGCCCTTTGGAAATGCCAATGGTGCAATGGTGATAATAATGAGGGTCTTTTATAACTTTTGTTGAAGACTACTTAAGAACAAGTGCAATATTATTGATGCTTCTCTGGAACAAATAATAATGATCACATATACTTGTTTTTTGAATTGCATGCAAAATCATGTGAAATGAAAGAAAACTTATATCCCCACCTGGCTGAACCACCTGAGTCACTTTCTTCACCTCTATTGAACAATCGAAGAGTTCATGGAGCCTTGGGGGTGGTCAAGAATATTTTAAGAATGTATGATGCTTCCTTGCTCAAATTTGATGAAGATAGATGGCATTATTTGCAAAAACTAAAAAAGAATTCTTCCTTGTTATGAGAGGAGCAATTTGAAGCAAAGTCATGAGATGAAGTGGGTCATAAAGGTAAGGAAAAATGGTAAGAAAGCAGTCCCAAACGAAGCCTTGGTCTTTTTGTGAGTGCTTTGAGATGTTAACTCTTTAAAAACTATGTTTGATCAGTGCTTTGAGATCTAAACTCTTTAAAGACTGTGCTTTATCAGTTAAGATATTTTATGAATCAAGCAATTTTACCTTTGATTTTGATCTTAAGTGATGCGGAGCATTTTAACTTAAAATTTTCATTAGGTTATTTGATTTAGTTTGTTACATGTTTCTAGAATCTTGTAGGTTTCTCTAGATTTCTCTATTTGATTAGTATATATAGAATGATGTAAGAAGAATGAAGGTATTGATGAATATTACACCTTTTTGAAGCTTGGTGCTTGTGTTTGTTACCTGGATTGAGAATTCCTTTTAGCAGGTCCGATTCTTCTGTCAATCCACTACATCATTAAGTCTAAAATTTTACCTTATTTGTTGAATCTGCAGATGAGAAAGTTTTTGATGGTATGTGCAGTCAAAAACCTTGTTCTTGAACAAGGAGAAAATGTTAAAGCTTTCATCCACACTGAAAGATTATAGAATTCTACATTCTTCTGTTCATTTGAATCGACTAATACTTATTTTTCTATCGTATTGCAGTCGAAGAAATCAAAAAGGAGACTCAGAAAGCCTGAAATTGTTCATTTGGCCTATGCCAAAGTGATGAAGAAGCTGAATTTTACTGGATAGAGTTCTGTAGTTCTGTTGTTTCCAGCCTTATTAGTTCTCCAGAATTTCACAAAAAGGAGTACTATCTTTCCTTCAACTCTTAGAACATCTTCAGAAAAATAATATTTAGTACGAGAATTTACCTTTGTGTTTTGTTATTTCTTTTAGCCAATTTGTTCTGTTTGTCCAGCTTATGTAGTGCCAACACCAAGTCAATGTAGAAGGTTAAGGCTTTGTTTGAGATCATTTTTTTACTGCTTTCTAAAGCAATATTATAGTAAAAAAATATTTTGAACTAAATATTTTTATACTAAAAAGTTGCTTCAAAATACATTAAGGAAGCCGCCCCAAATGAAGCCTAGCCTAAGGCTTCGTTTGGGACGACTTTTTTACTGCTTCATAAAACAGCTTTTTAGTACAAAAATTAAACTAGAAAACTGCTTTAAGAAGTAGAAAAAAAGTCGTTCCAATAATATGTAAAACTTTAAAAAAATTAATTTTTTTGCAATCGTGTCATGATCATCTTTATAAAGAATTACAGTTGCTTCCAACAAATTCCTAATTTGTAAAAAAAAAATTCTAGCCGTTAATGCTTGACTATATTATATAATCTCATTTAATGAATCAAATATGAATAAGAATATATTTGATTTGTTCTACATGGTAATTAAATAGGTATGTATGTACATGTTAGATCATCTTCAATTGAAATGCATATGGTGATATGCAGTTCGTTATTCGTTCCATTCGAATGATGAATTGTATGTCAAAATTTGATAGGTGAACAGTGCGACTCTAATATTGACATCGTACTATTCACATACGCTAATTTTTTGTGTTACGGAATTTGGAGTAGAAGCGCATGAAAGAGGAGAAAGATGTCTACTTTCGATTGGAGATGAATTATTGTATTTTGTAGTGGAAAATGAGTTTTTCGGTTGGAGATACCCTTAATTTAATCATATTAGTGTCAAGTGAATGTTATTTGGTTAAAAAAGATTAATAAGAAAAAAAATGTAAATTAATTTGTATTTTGATTTATTAATGTTTAAAAACTATTATGTACTTTTAAAATGAAAGCTCAATTTGAAGCAACATGTCAATGTATTTTTTATTATTTTGAATAAGATATTAAGTATTGACTAATAATAATTAAAGTTTTAATCTTAAAATCTAAATAGAATAATAATTATTAGGTAAATGTAAAATTTATGATGCAAATAGAATAATTATTGTAATAATTAGCAATTCATTGTTCAAAGTTTTATCAATTAAGTCATTTTGAGTTAGGAAACTGAAGTTTCCTAAAAAAAAGAAAAAAAAAAGTTTCTTTCACGGGTTGACCCGAACCCGAATTTTTCGTGTCGGATTCGGGTCGGGTTAGCGGGTCGTGTCAGGAATTGACAGCCCTATTTCCACCGCAAATTCTCTTTCTAGAAGAGTGGAACTCGTCCTTCCTGTACGTACTCTTCCTCTCCGTCGCGTTGGTTTCCATTTGCTTCTTTTCCAAGTCAAGTTGCGATTTTTCTTCCTCTTCGGATGTAAAAGGGTCTCGGCTAGGGTTCAAAGGAGCATTTTTGTATCTGCATCTCAGCTCTAGTTATTCGCGGCAGCAACGACGATGTCGGTGAGTGATTCTCTCACAGATCCCAACTTTCTTCTTTTTGTTCTCTTTTTATGCGATTTATTTGGGGAAATTGGCTCCTCGTTTGAATTATTAAGAAACTGTTTTGGTTTTCTTTGACTTTGGAAGCCTCGGTGTGATTTGACTTATGGATGCCGTTGAGCGCTTTAATCTTTCATTTGGACTGAAAGTAGCAATAGATTTACTGATGAACACTAGTTTTTAGGCCTTGGATCCGTTAATGTTGAGAAATACAGAAGTTGGAGTCTGAGAATTACATCAGGATATCTTGGCAGCATTGATTAGGATATTAACGTTTGCCAAACGCTATTCAATCTAGAGTTTGATTTCCTAGGATTGCAAATTACCTACTGAAAGTCATGGATAATCGTATAAAAAAGTGTAGAACTAACAATTTGCCAAATATTTAAAAACTATGCTGTGAAATTTGTATGAGTAGAATATGAGAACATACAAAAGAGTCTAAAACACCGAAATTTTAAGTAGGGTGATGATATCTTTCTTCATGAAGAAAAATATTCTCAACTTGTTCGACTCTTGAATGGACTCTAATAAGCCTTCCAAATTCAAGTTTCCTCTATCTAGAAGCTCTCTTTTTGTTCCCCTCTATCTTACTGAGAGATTATTACGTGCGGAGTCCGGATTGGAGAACTGTCCGGATTTTGTGAGGGTGCGCAATAAAAGTGCAATAACTGCGCACACTGCTCTTTTACTGTGTACACTTTCATAATCCGGACACAGCTCTGGTCCGGACTCCGCACGTAATAATCTCCCCTATCTTACTAAAATTTAGGTTTGCTTATTTATTTTTTATTTTTTTTTATAGAACTATCTATAAATTGATCAGTTTTATGTTGATTGGAGTTGCTGTTCCATTATGTTGTTATAACAAACATTGTATGTTACCATATGAGCTTTGTTAGGAAAGTGTAACCATTATTCTAAACAAATTTATGATGCAGGTAAGGACTGTCAAAGTGAGCAATGTTTCTCATAGTGCAACTGAACAAGATATCAATGAGTTCTTTTCCTTCTCGGGAGATATTGATCACGTTGAACTGAAGAGGTTTTCTTCATGTTTATATATGATGATTGTGGTTTTATTATATATGTAGATTCCAATTTAATGTTTGTTTTTCCAGCTTTGATGAATGGTCTAGAGTTGCTTATGTCACCTTCAGGGATTTCCAGGGAGCTGAGACTGCATTGCTTCTATCGGTGTGTTCCCTTATCTTTACATGAAGGTCTTTCTAATTAATAGCTTTATTTGAGATGTGTGTAATCAGCCATGGTTGTTGTAAGTTTATCTTATAATTAGTTGTGTTATTTATGTTCAAATCTAGAAAACAACAGGTTTCCATATATTCAAAGGTCTTTACAACAACAACAACAACATCAAGCCTTTGTCCCACTAAGTGGGGTCGGCTACATGAATCTTTTTTTGCCATTGTATATTGTTAAAAGTAAAATTCTCATTTAAATCTAATAAAGAAAGATCATTTATAATATTTTATAACCAAGTCTTTTTAAGTCTACTTCTACCTTTCTTAACATAAGTCAAAATGTCAAATCTAATACCTCAACTTTCCTAACCGGGTCATCGGAAGGCCTCCGTTTAATGTGACCCAACCATCTAAGGATTAAGGCGACTCTCTCTAATCTTATCTTCCACTGGAGATACTCCAACCTTTTCACGTATATGCTCATTTCGTATCCCATCTCTAAGGGTAAAGCCACTCATCCACCTAAGCATCCTCATCTCTGCAACACTTAACTTAGTATTAAGCTTTTCTTTAAATGGCCTAATTAATAATTTTATTTGGGATGTGCGCAATCAGCCATGATTTATTTATGTTAAAATCTGAAAAAGAACAGCTTTCATATATTCAAATTGCAAAGTGCATGCCATTATCCATAGAATTTCTACTTGCAGGTTTGTGACAGTCTCTTTATTCATTACGAGTTGTTGAGAAATAGATGAAATCAAACACTAAAAATGAAAAGAACATAAAATATTCCAAATTTCATTGCTAATAGTTGAAGGATGTGAAAAGAAAATTTGAATTGTCATCTGATGTTACTGACTTTTCTTCAAACTTAGAAAAATACAGAATCTCTGCTTAGAAACTTCTTGTTCTCTAAGCTTTAAAGTTTGAAGAAATAATTCAGCTTTTCTTGTATTACAAATGTATTTTTTTTATTTCCTTGTGTATCCATTCCTTGAATGATATTCCTTTTCAATGACTCAGGGTGCTACTATAATTGATCAATCTGTCATCATCACAAGTGCTACAGATTATCAGCCTCCACGCACCATGTCACTCCCTCCACCAGTATGAATCCATCTATGCTTTATAACTTTAGTTTTCACTGTCTAACAACAAAGAAATAAAATAAAACAAAATTTCTTATGTAGTATGAAGAGAGCAAATCAACCAATGGCTCGCCGTCCGTTGTTCGAAAAGCCGAAGATGTCGTTACAACCATGCTGGCGAAAGGTTTTGTTTTGGGCAAAGCCCCTGTCGACAAAGCGAAATCCTTTGACGAGAAGCACCGGATAACATCGACGGCGACCGCCAAGGTTGTTTCTTTGGATCGAAAAATTGGGCTAAGCGAGAAGATTAGTGCAGGTGCTTCAGCTGTGAATGGGAAGGTCAGGGAGGTGGACCAGCGATTCCAGGTATCTGGGAAAACCAAATCAGCCATTACAGTTGCTGAACAGAAGGTGAGTAGTGCAGGTTCAGCAATGCTGAAGAACAAGTATATCTTCAGTGGGGTATCATTTGTAACTGGTGCTTTCAGCAAGGTTGGTCAGGCTGCTAGTGATGTGGGATCAAAGACAAAAGAAAAGGTTATGGCTGAGAAAATGAAGAAGGGGACTTTCTGATAAGATCTTGATACTTCTAAATATATTATTAGTTTGCTATTTGTTTTTTTTTTTTTCATTATCTAATTTTGGATTAAGATAATTGATATGTTGTTGAAAAGTATTTTGATCGGCACAAATTTCTATGCATATTTGAATTGAAAATTTTCAAAATTAAATTGAGGGTCATTTAAACTCCGAGTTCACTAAATGTATAGTCGAGCAGAACGTTTGGATGAGATGAACCAAGAATGCTAAAAGTGGTCCAATTTGAGTTTGAATGAGCCCAGATTGAAGTGAAATTGGAAACTTCAAGGCACTAATTGATGATCGAACAATCTTTAAATCTTACATGCTTATAGTTGAATTGAGAATCTTGACAATATGAATTTAATGAGTCCAACATCACTTAATTTCGGTATCAGTAGGGCACTTTATTCTTGAAGGAATGATATATGATCGATGGAATTAATATAGGTTGTTTGATGAATTGTTTCAGATTTTCTCCATATTTATAATACATGTCATTCTAAAAAATTTATAAATAACCATACTCTCTATATGAAGGCAGGAGTTGGAGCTTGGACTTATGCTTAAGATTCAAAAGAGCTTAGAAACGTGAAGAATTATGAAGCTGTACTCGAGCATCATCTAACCATCATTGTCGAGCAACTGTCTGATCGTTGTCATTAGGCCATCACCCGATTGCCATCGTTGAACCACCTATTTATTATTGCCATTGTACCACTACTTGGACATTGCTCGACAGCGACTTTCAGTACATTGCCCAACCATCGTCATTGGACTATTGCTTGATCGTCGTTGTTAGAACACTGCCTTGTCGACCCCATCAAAACATCACTAGATTACCATTGTCGCACTGTTATCGCTAATTATAGTCCTACGACCACCATTATTAGACCTATAGGATCACAATCCAGTTCAGACTAGTTGACCTGATTGGTAAATCTTTGAATTTTTTAGTTCTGAACTCATTTGCATGTCTTTGAGTGTTTCAATGCATGAAATGATGACATGTGTTCTAGAATGAGTCATAAGATTTCGATGTGAATTCCAGTAAAATTTGAGAAACATTATTATTTGAGCGTCTCAGCAATGGATATGCGAGCGCCTCAGTGCAGCTAAAGTACTAGAGGCCAAACAGTGACATTGCAGCACTCCTGACTCTAGAATAGGATATGGCATGACTTGTGTGATATCATATCATATCGGGTCGGGTAGTGACAACCATCACTTGACTATATTCCTTCAGCCTCCATCGCCCGCTACGGTCCTTTAACCACCGTCACTCAATTACGGTCATCTTACCATCGTTGTCCGATTACAACATCTATTGTACAATCTTATGATATTTGTCGCCTGGATACATCGGCATCTGCTAATTTTATCACCTACCGTTACAAACAATGTCAATGCGTGCTATCGTTTATGAGATCGATGCATACTATCGACACCTATGACTCTCAACAAGTATCATCCATTGCTACATCAATTTCATAAGAAGCGATTTACGATTAGGGGCAACCTTAGCACCAAACAAGTTATTTGATCTAATATTTTTATATGCATCTAAGACAATATTGCTAATAATATTTTTTCTTGAAGCTTTTATAAAACATGAGAGATTTTTTCAAGGAAGTCTCAAATATTTTTAATGAATTATATACATTAGTGAGCTAATTATGAGAAAAAAAAATATTTAAATAAATAATTTATGATGGTGTGTAATTAATAAATTAACGCACGATGAATTATATGAACTATGAAGCACGCTTAATCCACCTTTGCGTACGCTATGATCATTCTTCGCATTGGATCAAGGACGGTTCTTCAAACAGCGAACATTGAAATTTTCTTACGTGGCAAAAATAGATTAGGTATCCTTAAAACCCGGCGCACTTCTCGCTGAGCCACCGCCGCCCTCTGCTGTTCGGAAGAAAATATGATTCCCCAAACAAAGAAAATATAGATATTTGGAAAAAAAAAATCCTCAGATTTCATTTTTTTTAAATTTATTTAAATTTCATTGTAAATTGGAAGTTTTAAAATTTATTATTAGATATTTTTAAATATTTTTTATATATTTTTATAACATATGTGATCCCATCGAATCCAAATAAGTAAGGTATTTCACTATTTCTTATTGTGAAATTTTTTTTCTAAAAATATCATGAGATTATTTAATTATATATATATATATAAGTTATTTTCATAAATATATTTTGTCATTAAAAAAATTAACCCTAATATTATTTAAATTAACCCCTACTTCGTTAAATTTTAATTATATCATTAAACTTCTAATGTTTACTAATTTTTTTTTAATTGAAAAAAAGGACGAAGAATGTATCATTTATCATAAGAATATATTTAACATTATTATCACTTAAATTTTATATTTTCTTACAAACTACAAATTAATTAAATTTGTATAATTTTATTTTATCGTATTTAAATAATTTTTAAAAGGGCTTCGTGTCGGTTCAGATCATTTAATATTTTCATAAGGTTTTTTAAATTTTATATTTTTGATCCGAACTGATTGATCCTGCAGTTAGCTCTACCTACTTTTGGGCAAATCAATAAATATTAAAAAAAGAAGGATTACAGTGCAATTATATTTCGCATGCGAGACGCTCGCATATAACTTCAGATATCAGAGGAGTCGCGTTGGGAAATTTAAAAACTATAATGGCAAGTTAACTAAACACGTTTTAGGGGAACAGAGGTTCTTACTTACCATTACTGTAAAAGCTCACAGCTTTCGTCTTCTCTCCCAATCTTTCCTTTTGAAATCGAGAGAGAGCCTCATCCTGAGTTTCTCCCATTGTTCTCGGCGAAGATTTACTGCACTGTTACTGATAACAACCGTTCCCTCTGCACTGGAGTGGCGGGTAGATAGATCTCTTCTGTCTGTTTACAGGTGAAGATAGATCTGCTGCATTGAAGTGAGCCTCGATCGATTTTCTAGGGTTTGGACATTTGCGGAGCAGTGGACGAAGCCTCCTCCTTCATAAATTTCCTTGCTTTTTCGGCCTTCATCGACGAGTAGATAATAAATGAAGAAAAGTTAACGGGAAAGTGTTTTCATTGGCTGTTGTGGCTTGGGCGTTGGGTCTCTTTCATGAGTCTTCTCCTTTTTGATCTAATCCATCAGATCCGGTCTTGAAGTCGTCGGATCTGTCTTTCAACTGCCACTGGTCGTATAAGATCCAACCCTTTAGTTTACATGCCGATGGCTAACACGAACCAAGCTCTGCGAGCAAGCTGGTCGGCCCGTTTTCCGCCGCCGGCGACGGGAAACCAAACAGTGGCCTTTGGCCACCGGACACAGTCCGGGAGGAACATCAGCTACTCCCGCGACGACCTTGACAGTGAGCTCGGCAGCGGCGAGCACTCCAAGGAGTTTCTCAGCTACCATGTCCACATCCCTTCTACTCCCGACAACCAGCCAATGGACTCTGCAGCATCAACGAATCTTGATCCATCAATCTCCGCCCGCGTGGAGGAGCAGTACGTCTCGAACTCTCTCTTTACTGGTGGATTCAACAGTGTTACCCGCGCACAGCTTATGAACAAGGTGATCGACTCTGAGTCGAGCCACCCGCAGATGGCCGGAGCCAAGGGTTCGTCTTGCGCCGTCCCTGGCTGCGGCGCCAAGGTCATGAGCGATGAGCGCGGCAATGATATTCTTCCATGCGAGTGCGATTACAAGATCTGCCGCGACTGCTTCGTGGAGGGTTTGCAGACCAATGGGACTTGCCCGGGCTGTAAGGAGCCTTACAAGGCAACGGATGTGGATGAAGTCGTTGCGAATGCTCAGCTGCATCTGTCAATGCAACCTTCTTTAGGAGGGATGTCGAAGATGGAAAGGCGACTGTCGCTGATGAAGTCGAGGAACTATGGAAGGAGCCTGACCAGAAGCCAAACTGGTGATTTTGATCATAACAGGTGGTTGTTTGAGACGAAGGGTACTTATGGGTATGGAAATGCTATCTGGCCTAGGCAGAATGATGGTGATGGTGATGGTGATGGTGATGGCGATGGCGGACAGCCGGTAGAGCTTGTGAGCAAGCCATGGAGACCTCTTACAAGGAGATTGAAGATCCCGGCTGCAATCCTCAGCCCTTATAGGTAAGTTGATTGAATTGTGATATATTGGAGATTGTTTGATCTGTTTTTTTATATTTGTTGTACATCTTGGGGATAAAACTACTACATTGTTTGCTCTGATTCTTTTCATAACCATTTTGGGGCTGTTTGGTAGCACACTGATTTCATTTAAGTAGGATTTCATAAATCTGGGTTTTAAATCCTGAAAACTGTTTGGTAACTTTCATGATAAATTCTGTGTCTGTTTGGCTCTTCTACTTACAATTTAAGGAGTTTAAAATTTTTGAGCGGAGTTTTTTCTTTCTCGCTTCAATAGAGTTGGAGGATTTTGTAAATCCAACAAAAAGCAGGATTTCAGAAATCCGGGATTTAGCATGAAAAGGCGGAATTTTCCGTCTACGGTGGCTTTCATTTTGGGTCATTTGGCTGGATTTCGCTTAAATCCGCCTCAAATCCGGCCTAAATCCTGCTACCAAACAGCCCCTTTGAGTGATTTGTATCATGTTCTTAAACTACATGTTCTTAAACTACATTAAGATTTTAAACAGAACCATTTCAGCTTTGTCTGAAGGAATTTATGGCCTCAATGCATAGTTCAATTAACATAAGTTCTTAACTGTTTTCAGGCTACTTATCTTTATTCGAATGGCCATTCTAGGCCTCTTTCTTGCATGGAGAATCAAGCACAAGAACGAAGATGCCATTTGGCTTTGGGGCATGTCAGTTGTCTGTGAGATATGGTTTGCCTTTTCATGGCTTTTGGACCAGTTGCCAAAACTCTGCCCCATTAATCGAGCCACCGACCTTCTTGTTCTGAAAGAGAAGTTTGAGACCCCTTCACCTTCCAATCCGTCCGGAAAATCAGATCTTCCTGGCATAGATGTCTTTGTTTCAACTGCTGACCCTGAAAAGGAGCCACCTTTAGTCACTGCCAACACCATCCTCTCCATCCTTGCTGCCGATTACCCCGTTGAGAAGCTAGCCTGCTATGTTTCTGATGATGGCGGTTCTCTTCTCACCTTCGAAGCCATGGCAGAAGCTGCAAGCTTTGCCAATCTATGGGTTCCTTTCTGTCGTAAGCATGAAATCGAGCCTAGAAACCCTGAAAGTTATTTCAGCATGAAGCGGGATCCTTACAAAAACAAAGTCCGGTCGGATTTTGTAAAAGATAGGAGACGATTGAAGCGAGAATACGAGGAGTTCAAAGTCCGTATCAATAGTCTGCCGGACTCCATTCGTCGTCGGTCTGATGCTTACCATGCCCGGGAAGAGATCAAGGCAGTGAAGCGGCAACGAGAAGCTCCTCTCGAGGAACCTGTAGAACCTGTTAAGATCCAAAAGGCTACTTGGATGGCCGATGGGACTCATTGGCCCGGCACTTGGGTTTACTCTGCAGCTGAACATTCTCGAGGAGATCATGCTGGAATTATTCAGGTATTCTCTTGTGACTACATGGTCATCATTCCCCTTCAAAACTGAGTATACTCATCTCTTTTAATGGAGAAATTATTAGGTTCGGACATCGAACAGAGAGAATCATTCGGATTTTTCTGTCTACAGTAAAAGCGTAGTCAAAGCGCAGTTACTATAGTAGCTGCGCTTTGACCGTGATTTTACTGTAGGCATAGAAAAATCCGGATGATTCTCTGTGTCTGATGTCCGCACCTAATAATGTCCTGGGGGAATTATTTTGTACAGAGTCTAAAAGTAGAAAATCTTTCGGATTACTGTGTACCCTATGCGTACGCTCTGTGTATTTGCTGCTTATCCACATATACGTAGAGTGTAAGCAGAGCGTATGCAAAGCATGATCGTATGTAGAGCGTACGTGGTACGTCCAGTAATCCAAAAGATTCTCTACGTCCGGACTCCGGACAGAATAATTTCCCTTTTTAATGGCCAACATTAATGTTATTTGACCAATATGCTTTATGATTTCTGACAAATTCATGTTTTGGGGCTGATTTCCTTGTTCTAGGTGATGCTGAAGCCCCCAAGTGATGAGCCTTTGCTTGGTAACAATGATGAAATCAAATCTTTTGATCTCACTGAAGTTGACATCCGTCTGCCCTTGCTAGTCTATGTTTCACGCGAGAAACGTCCAGGTTACGACCACAATAAAAAGGCTGGCGCCATGAATGCCCTGGTTCGAGCTTCTGCAATCATGTCCAATGGACCTTTCATTCTCAACCTGGACTGTGACCACTATGTATACAACTCTCTGGCCTTGCGCGAGGGCATGTGCTTCATGATGGACCGCGGCGGCGATCGCATCTGCTATGTTCAGTTTCCTCAGCGATTCGAAGGCATTGATCCTTCCGACCGTTATGCTAATAACAACACAGTCTTCTTTGATGTTAACATGCGCGCCCTCGATGGCTTACAGGGACCTGTTTATGTCGGCACTGGTTGCTTGTTCCGACGGATTGCTCTCTATGGCTTTGATCCCCCTCATTCGAAGGTCCATAGCTCCTGTTTCTCGACTTGCTTTCGAAGAAAAGGGAAAACTCCTTCTGCAGAGGAGACTCGAGCCCTGCGAATGGCCGATGAGGACGACGATGACGAAATAATGAATCTTTCATCCTTCCCAAGGAAGTTCGGCAACTCAAACTTCCTTATTGATTCCATACCTGTGGCAGAGTTTCAAGGCCGCCCTCTCGCCGACCATCCTGCAGTCAAGAACGGCCGGCCGCCTGGAGCACTCGTCATCCCGCGCGACCTTCTCGATGCATCCACTGTTGCAGAAGCCATCAGTGTTATTTCGTGCTGGTACGAAGACAAGACGGAATGGGGGCACCGCGTCGGCTGGATATACGGGTCAGTCACCGAAGATGTCGTGACCGGTTACAGAATGCATAATCGAGGATGGAGATCAGTTTACTGCGTGACCAAGCGAGACGCTTTTCGCGGCACCGCACCGATCAACCTCACCGACAGGCTGCACCAAGTGCTCCGGTGGGCGACCGGATCCGTCGAGATCTTTTTCTCTAGGAACAATGCTCTTCTTGCCAGTCCCAAGCTAAACCATCTTCAAAGAATTGCATACCTCAACGTCGGCATATATCCCTTCACTTCCTTCTTCCTCATCGTCTACTGCTTTCTACCGGCCCTCTCTCTCTTCTCAGGCCAATTCATAGTCCAGACTCTCAATGTTACATTCCTCGCCTACCTCCTTATCATCACCATCACCCTCTGCCTGCTCGCTGTGCTTGAGGTCAAATGGTCGGGGATCGAGCTGGAGGAATGGTGGCGAAATGAGCAGTTTTGGTTGATTGGAGGCACAAGTGCTCACCTTGCAGCTGTTCTTCAAGGCCTGCTGAAGGTCATAGCAGGAATCGAGATCTCTTTCACACTCACCTCAAAGTCTGCCGGAGACGAAGAAGACGACGACTTTGCTGATCTGTATCTTGTGAAATGGACATCACTGATGATTCCTCCTATAACCATCATGTTGGTGAATCTCATCGCCATCGCCGTGGGAGTAAGCCGGACGATTTACAGTGTGGTTCCGCAATGGAGTAAGTTGATCGGCGGTGTGTTCTTCAGCCTGTGGGTGCTGGCTCATCTCTACCCTTTTGCGAAGGGGTTGATGGGAAGGAGAGGGAAGACTCCAACTATAGTATTTGTCTGGTCTGGTTTGATTGCTATAACTATTTCACTTCTGTGGGTGGCAATCAATCCTCCTTCTGAGAGTTCACAGATTGGTGGTTCGTTTACTTTTCCTTGATCTTTCTTTCTTCTTCTTCATGGCAATTTCTGTTCTGGACATAATCTGATATCTGTATTTATAACAAATTAACAAGTTTTGAATGAGTTTTTCAGTTATATTTGATTTTATCTTTGATAAATTGTGTGTGTCATCTTAGGCAACAATTTGATTGATGAATCAAATTCGAACTTTTATTACATCCAGTGAACGTACGCTCCTTTACGTTCGGTTTTAGACCAAAACAGCGCAATACCGACTTTTTTGAAAAAACTCGGTACAACTCGGTACTCGGTATTGCGCTTTTTTTGCCTAGAACCAAACGTAGAGGAGCGTACGTTCACTGGATAAAATAAAAGTTCATCAAATTCATGTCATAAAATGATTAAATGTGTCACAGGTTCGGATCAGATATTTTGATCGATATAATGAACGGATTAATATAACATTCAAAATAAATGAAAAAATATATATTATTTTTAAAAATAATTTTCTAATTGCAATAAACAAAATGAGCCCTTAATTAATTTTCTATAGCCAATGGCCGGTTTTTATAAACAGGTCCGATTTTCTAGTTCGGCGGTCGAACCAGCCGTTCGAACGGTTCACACATGGTTCTTTGTTGAGGCGGTTCTTAAGGCTGGCCGGTTTGGCCGGTCCGATTTTAAAAATGTTGGCCAATGATGGGTTGCAACTGCAACTAGAGATTTAGGCTGTTAAAAAATCATTTAATTTAATTGAGTTTAATCAAATAAAAAATAATAGAGCCAAGCATTTAACAAGCATTCTTAAGGCCTGTCGGTTTGCGGTTCAACTAGCCGGTCTGATCCGATTTTAAAAATGTTGGCCAATGATGGTTTGCAACTACAACTAGAGATTTAGGCTGTTAAAAAATAAAAATTAATATAGCCAAGCATTTGACAAGCAATTCCCATTAGCTTATCAAAATTTTTTTAGATGAGAAGCAATTTTTTTACAACAAAATATATTATAGAGTCTATTTGAAATAACTTCTTTGTTGCTTTGTTTTTTAGATAACAATCATAATTTCACATGAATACTGCATTATTATTGTTATTTCACTATTTTTCAGAAATGTTTGTGGCGAGCAATTTTTTTTCAACCAGGTAGATAAGTTGTTTTTCCCACAACAATTTCACAATCAACTTTATAAACCGTTATAGTCAACTCAAACATACCCATAAAGTGGAAAAAATATTCTCTGCAAATGCTGAACGTCGTCCGGAGACCAACTATAATGCACCATATTACTCCTTCGCTCGGTATCGCGGAGTACCGTGGCTCGATACCGTTAATGTGGCTGCATCTGATTCACCTTCGGACGTAAAGCTGTGTCTGGCGTCCGCACAGAAAAATTTCTCAAATAAAGTGATAGTTTGTATAACACAATTATTTTTAAAAAGGAAAAAAATTATAATACCTACAATAACTTTAAAAAAATCATATTTTTTCACACAATTTTTACAGAAATAAATCCTCATAACGATATCATTCTTCAGTGAAGGATAGGGTCTCACCTCAAACAAACATTGACCCATACAAACCATACTCAACAACTAAAAAGGAAAAAAAAATCATTGAGTACAGGAAGAACAGCTCTATTTTGCAGAAAACAAAGTGGAACTAACCAATTACCTATCTCAGGAAGAAAGAATCAGTCTCTCATTTCAGATGCATCCACAGTGCAATATCTCTCCTGATAACATCATTATATTGCCCTCTTCCACAGCTTAAGAATGATGAGAAATTCTGAACAGACTGAGAAGAGAAATGGTGGTTCTGAGCTTGCTTTGTTGGCTTCATCATCATAACGGTTGGCAAAGGCAGAGAGTTCTTGTTGAATGAGGTAAAGAGTCGCCGGTTTTCGCCGATTTGATCTGACATTTTATCAGTTGGTTTGTCCACACCAACGGACTTATTTGAGTTTAGTTCCCGGGTACTAACAGGAAGTTTTTCTGGAGAGCTACGGATCTGGGCGGATGGCTTGATTCTGTCAAGAAAACGAAGGAACCAGTTACCAAGGCTCCTTCCTGCTTCTAAGTCTCTTTGCTGTATGTTCTTGTGTACAGTAACTGCCACATCAAAAATGGAACGTGTTCTCCTACAAGATGAAAAGGAAGAAATAGAACCCAAGTAGAGAAGGATATTCTGACCCGAATTTTTTACCATTGAAGCAACAAGTAAATGGGTGAAATCTTTAAACTAACTGAAATTTACACAGACCATAAAAGATGTAATAGGAAAAGTTGTCCAATTAAGAGAAAACTGAGGATTTAATGGTTCAGTAATGAAGAGTTGCCAATCTTATTAACAGGTTTGTTTCGATGTTGGTGCTATTTGTCAAATAATCTATTTTTAGTTTACCCTTATTGTAATAGATGTTAGTTCCTACTCTCAAAAGTTCTTAACCATGGTTTAAAAAATCGTTAAGGCACGCCTTGAATTGAGAGGCATAAAGAAAGCGTAGAGGCTTCAAACCTCACTGGGGTTATTGCCAGAGTCAAGTAATTTTTTTAAAATATTCTCTTAACTTTTTTCATAAAGGCTTGGGACTATCATCGACAATTTTAAGAAATTTAGTTTAAATTTGTTATTCAAAATTTAGTTTACTCGTATTTTAAAATAGCTGAATGATTACTTCATTACCAAAACAATCAACTATTTTTTTTTTTAATATAAGTGATTAAAGTATCATTTGTCAACTTATCAAATTATATTTCATAGTCAATTTTTTATAATAGTTATGCAAAAAAAAAAAAAAAAACTCTTTTAATGTTGCAGCAACGGGTAAAACTAATGCTAGTTTCAATAGCTTGAAAAAAAAAATGATATAAAATATCCTTCCTGCTCTGGATCATTTTCTCAGTAAGGCTTCCAATATCTTTTAAGCATGAAAATTATACATGTCCATAATATAAATTTTTGAATGATTACCAAGAATCATGAGGTTTATTGTAGTAAAATCATCTAGATAAATGTGTATCATTCTAATTAGCTTATATTTGTTGAATACATTTAAACTGACTATTTGGATTCAAATAGGCAACGGACAAAATTAATTAAATATTTGTCTCTATAAAGTGATTATTAAATTGTATAGAATATTTCAACTTGAAAATGATATCAATTTGTTATATCTTAAAGTCTATTCTGAGGACATCCATAAGCAACCATTTATCATCCATATGGAGAATAACTATTTTCTATTGCTCACAAAATAAAATTATTTTGTTAATAAAGTCTTTCCACTTGTAAGCGCTTATATCTTGTAGTATTACTTTAGCATTCACAATATCTTGTTCTTTTCTTTGTAATACTAATGATAGTTTAAAAGTGACTCCAAGTATATCTTTCATCAAATATAAGCAAAGAAAATCATCAAAAGATTATAGAGATTCTACTAATACGAGTTATTTCTTGATATAAATCTTGACCTATAACAAACTCTCCATTTTGTAATACACTTAACATCTTCTCTCATTGGTAATATCTAAGCTGATCAAAGCATCTACATAAATTAATAATGATATTCAACACATTTAAAATTATAGTAAATAAAAAAACAATTTGAATATGATTTTTTGAAACAAATATTAAGGTTGATTGGAGTTGGTGTGAGAAGTAGTGAATATAATGTAATGATTTAATTTCATTTAGGAATAATATTTTTAGCCCATTAAACTCCACACTCATATTACTAGCTCCATCATAAACTTGGTCACATTAAAGCATAAGTTGAGAAGATTTATTCAATTGTTATTTAGAGGTATTTAGCTATTGCCTTTGGAACATTTATAATTCCAAAAATTAATCAACTACGTGACTTATTTATTCACATATCACAATACAATAACTTTTTGCTCATTTGCAGATATATCATGAGATTCATCAACTAAAATAGAAAAGAAACCATTGCTAAGCCCCTTAATTGAGAAATTCGTTACTGCAATGGATGTGGGTCTAGTAATATCGCAAGTTATATTTTTTTTAAATATTAGGATCTATTAATATCGCTATTAATATCTTTTTAGTAGAACATTATTTATATCTTCATTATGTTCAGATAAAAACTATACTACCTAAGAAATTTTTTTGGATTTTTGGATTAATAACACCAATCATGTCCTTCGAAAGCTAATCCTTATCTTAAAAGAAGCCTCATGCAATCAACAAAAGTATTTAGTGAGTACGATATGTATTTGTAGCACGATCAAATTGCTTTTGAAAGACAACCAATATGCTGACTCTATTTTATTAAGTTCTCACATTTATGTCGCATAATTATGAACACTAATGGGGCCTCCAACATGAAGTTCAAATCTATCTTCTTCTTTTTTTCAGTTTGAAAATCCATACTTGTTAAATTCTTAATCATCCCCTTTCTTTGGTCATAGCTCTAAGAAAATAACAACATAACTAATATAGTTGATCTTTATATATATTAACCTCTAACAAATTAGAGTACTTATCAAATTAACTAGAATTGAAGCGACTCTCTTTGATTCTATAAATTTTATGGAAGTCTTGATTGTGAGGTTCATAAGGCCCTTTTGCAAGTATGATCTTCGAACTTAATCTTAAATATTAGAATTATATTCACAAATAGAAGTTGTAATCCATAATATTATGGAGGAGTTTGAAAATATATCCCCAAGTTTTTTAATTAATTAATCTCCATTTGAATTCGTTTTCAATTATGTTATTCGTTGATTTCATTTTTTTCATTTGATTTCATTGATAAATTTAATTTTAATAACCTATTGAAAAATCTCTCCATAAATATACAAACCTTTAAGTTGAAAAAAAGAAGAAGAAAATAAGGTTTAAACAAACTATCATTATTAATTTGTATTTTTATTGTAAGAAAAATAAATCATATCAAATGCCAACAAGACAAAAAATTTCATATTAAGGTGAGCAAGAAACCAACCTTGAAGACAGCATATGCCCATAAAAAGCCATTATGTTATCCTACTTTGAAGTCTGAATTGAAGTTTTTGGATAAGCAAAGAAAGAGATAATAGATTTATATCTACTATAATAATATTAATAATTGCAACAATAATAATCAAATGTTTCATAAACAGAGAAAAATCAGGGTGAAATCATGAAGAGAAAAACTAATCGGCAGTTGTTGACAATGAAGATGGAGAAGCTGTGACTCAGATGCTTTGGAGTGCAAACTGGAGCGATTGGGGCAAAAGAAGGAGGCATTTTTTGGGAAACATCTTAAGCCTAAATTAACTACACCTTGATATAGAAATTCTATTGGGTTGCATTTTTTGAGTAAGACTAATAAGAATCAGAAGTTAACTTTTATGATCATTAGGAGCTTTTAAGAAATGGGATCTGAAAATAAAACCTATTGCAACCAAGTACCTTACCACTAATTACTTGCTTGATCAGCTAGTTCGTTTCTTAATAATACATAGCAGAATCTTACAACCAAAGACAATAATGATGCTAAAAAGAAGAAAGAAAGGGAATAACATTCAAATCTACAACACTCAAAGCATGAGCCTTCAATTAAAGTGAAGAAGAAGATAGAAGGTTTGGATAAGAAAATCCCAATGATATCAAAGAGATTTTCCTCGCAAATGAGATGAGAGAAGTAGAACTTCCATCGGCAAAATCAAAGACATAGTAATAACTTTTTTTACAAATATAAACCTGAAGTGTCTTCTAAAGGTGAGGAGAAGGGAAATTATATGCTACAACTACAAAAGAGAATGGAAATATCTAATCATGGGATTGTTCATACCTCAAAAGGATATAAGAATGATAGAAAAAAGCAGAAAAAGCCAAACAAAGATGTGAAGGTCTTCTGTGTAAACTCCATGAAGAACCAAATTCCAGTATATTCAAGAATGAGGCAAATGTTTGCTCTATGGTTGATGAAGATACATTCACAAAATACTTAAAATATTAATAACAATAATAATGCTAGATGTAATTATAATAGAAAGCAGCATATCATCAAATGATTGTAAAATCAGAAAAGCTCTCACATTTATTCACGTTTTAATCCATATGGGTGTTGAAAGTTTTAGGATCTTCTCACCGTAGACAAGACTAAAATGCTCTGAAAACTAACTGACGCTCATTCAACACTCAAATGCCAAACTTTCCCGATTTTCACCTTTCTAGTTAGTAAAAAAATCACCACTTTCCCACCTCCCTAATTTCCGACCATCCTCAACATAGCAAGAATGCTCACTTATAAACCCTAAAATGGTCAACAGTAAGTAGAGGAGAAGGAGGAAGATGAAGAGGAAACGATACCTGTGGAGAAATTGTCTGATCCTGGGGTGCTTTGGGCCAATAATTCTCCGCTGGAGTCTGAGAGCGATCCTGTAGGTCCGCTTCAACCCCAAGAAATACGCCGTCGCCGCGGTTATCTCCCATAACACCATCTTTGCCAAACTAAAAAAGGGAAAAATTGAACCTTCTCAGATCCCTTCTACTCTCTATTCTTCTGGGAAACTATCGCCTTTCTTCTTCTACTATCACATAATCGTCAACTCATACAATCATTTCACTCCTCTCTGCGGCGGCGAGGGTAGGAAACGGAACTTGATAGAGGAAGAGTCGAAGACGAGAAAGAAGAAAACAGTCGCTATTTCTACTTTTGATCATTTTTTTATAAAAATATTGAAATTTATAAATAATGGTAGATGATCAAAACAATCAAAATTGTCATTTCATAGTTTCTTTTGAGATTTGAATAAGATTTATCAAAATAACATAAGAATTTTTTATAAATTGGCTCATTCTTTAGATGAAAGTGGCATTGAGAGTTTCAACTTGGTATAAAATTTAGATACGTATTTGAGAGAGCCACTTGCGGCATCACGTTGCCCCAGGGTAGTCAATTGCCCATCCTCAAATCGTAAAAATTAACCCAATCCCCTAATTTTTTTTGCCCTAATCTAAGGCATTTCCAGATCCCCCGCCTTCGTTTCATTCCCTTCACACACGCGACATGTTGACACAAGTAGCCAAAGTCGTGAGGCGCGAGGGTTTAAACTCAAAGCTACCCCAGGTTCGTGAATCGTGATCTCATCCATCAGTTATAACATTAATGCAAGTCATCAACACCAATGCTGATGCTTGCCAACTTCATCATATGGTATCACTCATCACTTCAATACACACCATTGCCAATAAAGCTTACACAAATTGTCGGCACCAAGTCTAATTCTTAATGCCAATACTAAGATTATACTAGAATTCTTTGTCTTTGTTTTCGTGTCCTCAAAGTAGAACAACCAAAGTTACTAAAATGATTTCTTTATAAAAAGAACTTCAATGCATCAAAGCTCTTAGAATTTTCACCGTGAAATTTATCGTCGACAATTTATGATTATTTTATTGTATTAATGTCTATCTCAATTAGCTTTCTCAATATTTCGCTTCATAACCTATATTTTTCGAACAATTATTCTTATTTATTCACAAAATAAATTCATATATTAAATATGTAAATTTAACAATTTTGAGTGCTATTCACATAAATCCATCAATATTAAAATATTGCATGTAATAAATATGATAAATATTTTAAAAAAATTGATGTATATATTAATTTAAGAATCATTTTACGAAAAAATGTAATCAAAATATATTGATATAAAATTTTCCTTGAAAATCACTTTATTTTACATTTTAATCCTATCCTTAATGCATTTTTACATATTGCACCATGCAAATGCACGAGTATATAATGGTTACTCGCTGTGGCGCTCTTCTGTTCCCAAAGGAAAAAGCCCTAGTAGCTGAGGAGCCGCCATGCCGCCCAAATTCGATCCTTCTCAGGTTGTCGAGGTTTACGTTCGCGTCACCGGCGGCGAGGTAGGGGCCGCAAGCTCCCTTGCCCCGAAGATCGGTCCGCTCGGCCTCTCCCCCAAGAAGGTCGGAGAAGACATCGCCAAGGAGACGGCCAAGGACTGGAAAGGACTCCGTGTCACCGTCAAGCTGACTGTTCAGAACCGGCAGGCCAAGGTTTCCGTCGTTCCTTCGGCGGCTGCGCTCGTCATCAAGGCCCTTAAGGAGCCCGAGCGCGATCGCAAGAAGACTAAGAACATCAAGCACAACGGGAACATCTCGCTTGACGATGTAATCGAGATTGCAAGGGTCATGAGTCCCAGATCTATGGCTAAGGATCTTAGCGGCACCATCAAGGAGATTCTGGGGACGTGCGTCTCCGTCGGCTGTACCGTGGATGGGAAGGATCCCAAAGACTTGCAGACGGAGATCACAGAAGGGGATGTTGAAGTACCGCTTGAGTAAGTATCGGATTCTTATGTGTTACTGGGTTTGATATTCTGTTTTCATCTTTCGAACATTTGGACAGTTGAAATCTTATTTATCATCGCAGTGTATTGTAACTTAAGAAGGATTCTGAGCGAATGTTTCTTTTAGAATTAAGAGTTGTTTTATCTCAATGTGGTTTAGTAATCTTATTTTTTTGACATTGTTCAACACTGATTGTTGAGAATTTCCTTCTCATTTTTTTTTCAATAGCTTGCTTTATTTTCTCGTGGGAAACTTGAATTTCCGTTGATAGGTAATTTCTGTGTCTGGTCATTTTATTGCATTCTTTTCTCATATGACTTTTTTAATTGAATTGGATGTGTAGATTTCATGACTGGAAACTAATTGATTAGTTGCAGATAAAGATTAATTTGAATCCATCGTTGGTTTTCTATTTGAATTTCTGTATGGACTCTTAGTTCATGCAGGTATATGAAGAGCACTGGACATGTTTTAATCTTTATTTTTTCAGCATTTCTCGTGAAATATGACCCTATTTGTCAAACAGATGGATCGTGGCGTACTTGGGATTAAAGAGTAGTTTTTTTTCTTGAATCATAGATTTCTTGAACAAAGTTTTCTAAAATTTGGAGTTGGCTTTAATTTTTAAAAAATATTTCTTAGTCAAAATTTGGATTGTTTTGGTATTTTTTGCGATTTGGAAGAATGAAAGAGAGAGTTTGAAAGATTCAGGTTCACCTTAGCTTGTGGATTTTAGTTACAATTATAATTAAGAAGCTCTGTTCTTACATGAAATTCCATGAAGAAAAATTCTAGAGCCTATCTCAGACTGTTGCCTTTATCAATCTAGTTAAACTTCAAGGGTTTACCCTTTATCAAACAATCATAGTTCAATGTTTCCATTGAGGAATTTGATGAGATGTGGTTGTAAGCCTAGAAAACGTTGAACTTTATAGTGCATGATGATTCAAACTCAGTCAATTGAATTGGTTTGCTTAAGGTCTTTCAAAATAGGAGATCTCATTCCTAATTTTCACCAGATAATCTTATTCCATGGGTGGGCGAGTGGTAAATTTAAGCCCAATTGGGAAAGACTCCATTGTAAAAATGTAAACGAGGGTGAAACTTATCAGTTTGTTGATTGCAAAGGCATATATCCAATTGATGCAACAAAAAAGAAAACACTTTAAGATTGCAATTTAAAACCAACTTATATTCCTTAAACATAGATGAATATGTGCACATAACACAACAATGCTTACAACTTACAAGACACAATAACACTTTCAACTTAAAAAAAAAAAAACAACACAACCTTAGACACAACAGCTTACAACTTATATTAATAATGATAAGAAGGATACATATGGGGTGGGAACCATGGAGAGAGAAGAGGTAGAAAACCGAGACGAAGTAGAAGAGGAAAGGAGACTAGCTCGCAAGCTAGAAAAAATCCGTAGGTTTTACAAACAAAAATTCATCATTTTCTACTCTAAAACTGTAGCAAAACAGTCCCATTTATAGGGGAGAAAAAGAAAAAAAAAAGACAATTAGTGCAGGTAGTTACAGTATCCACCCAAACAACCGCTATAAACACCTCAAAACTTTAGCAAAACCGAAGGGATAGCTGACTAGGGGAAATCAAAGTATCAACACTACAACCAATGAACACAGAAACCGAAGGGACAGCTGCCAAGGGGGAAACTGAAGCATCAACACAGCAACCAATAAACACAGAAACTGAAGGGACGGCAGCTTGCTTTGCCCAAATCACCAATGCATCCAAATCCTCGCATCAATGGACAAAATTTACAAAAATTATTATGCCTATTCAAATGTGCTGACAAGGCTCATCTCATTTTAACCCTTGTGGATTGGGTATGTGGGCATCCAGAATGTCATACATTAACGTAACACCTAATTTGCGTCAATGAATTCACCCATTTAGGAAGATTCATATACGGCTAATAATTAGTCATGTCAAAGCCTCTAAGAAACATAAATAACTCAGCGATACCTTTCTGGAATTTGACCTCTTGGTGCATCTCTACAATTCTACCTTCTCATCGATTCCCATTGAGATCTTAAACTATATGATGACCTCCTCCCAGGTATCCCACTTTTGTTCTTCATTTATATAGCATGGTTTTTGCAAACAAAACATATACCAAGCCTATTTCTTTTTGGATTTCCATTCCTTTCTTATTACAATAATGCCACTCAAGTCCATAGTGAATCGTCGCATATTACTTGATGTCAGTAGTATCTAGCCATTCCTTCGCTCCATCACGAGATGATGAAGGAATTCCATGGAATCCAATGGCCATGTCAAAGCTCTTCTCCAAAATAACAATTTCAATCTTTCTCAAGGTAATAATCACTAGAGGTGGCGTCTCAATCAGTTCAACCAAACAGCTTGAAGATGGAACAATGAAGGATGAAGCTTTATGGGGAACTCCATGGAATCCAAGCTCTCTGAGTGGCTGATCAAACTCATCATCTTCATTGAAAGAATAAGCAATATCTTGGTTAGTAGTTGAAACCTCCGATTTATATTTAAGTCAGTTAAGGTATGCTCACACATACATCACATATGCAAGCTTCGAACTCAATACCTTTTGGTTAGTAGCTGAAACCCCCGATGAACAGACCAAGCACGTGTTGGGCTTGTATATATTGACCAATTCTGCAAGACATGTTTTCATAATTCAATTGCATTTAGATGTTAATCTCAAATCCAATCTATCAAGTAGCATGCAAGTAATCTTTGGCCAACTACTTAATCTCCAAGCCCAATACATAGTGATAATGCATGTTAAGTTTGCAACAATTAAGAATATATGCCAATTATGTCCCCAAGCTAAGGATTGTTTTCTTGATATAGGAACATAATAGCTACCTTCTTGATTTATGGCAATTAGGACCAACTTTTTGATTTAGAGAGATATGAATTGACTTAGTAATCATTTGCTAATGGTTAAAATTCTCTATAGCATTCTTTTGTACCAAACTATTTTTATCTCTATTATGTTCAATAAAAAATACTAAAGACTCAAGAAAACTTTCTTGGTTTATTGATTTATAAGATTTATCATTGGTATACAAATTGACACAACTCTTACACTAAAGTGAGTCATGTCTTATCGAATGCAGGGGTGTCAATTTCGAGTCACGGGTCGGGTTCGTGATGAACCCTAAGTTGACCCGACCCGAACTCGACCCGACCCGAATGACATGGGTTGGACAAAAAGCTGCTAGTTTTTTTGTCCAAATATGGGTCAAACTCTGCTTTTCGGGTCAAAATGGGTCAATCTCGGGTTGATGGGTCAAAACGAATTATTTTCGGGTCAACGGGTCAACCCAAACCCAACCCGCTTTGAGTTCGGGTCAACCCAAACCCGAAATTTTTGGGTCGGGTTCAGGTCGGATTTTCAAGTCGGGTCCAATATTGACACCCCTAATCAAATGTGTGACATATAATTATTCGAAATCTATTTGGAAGTATTTTTTTATTATATATAATAAAATCTGTAAACTAATATACGATCATAAGTACAATAAAGCAAAAAATCATCTACATCGCATAAATTTGTATTAAAAAATTATACAATCTGAAAGGGTCCATATTAACAATATAATATCATGATCTTTAAAAAAATATAACTACAATTTAGCTAAAAGTCATAACCATAATTCGAAATTTACAACCTCTACCTCTAATAACCAAGCTCCGAATCATTTTCCATTTCTTGAAAGCAACACACAGAGAGAAAGTGGCGGTGAGCATCAAACAACTAAGTTGAGTACAAAAAACCTTCAATAATTTATAATGTATATAAGGAGAAATAATATGTATATGATCCTATTATCATATAAAAATAAAAAAGCATGTAAAAATTAGCGATAGTTCCATAATAATTTTAAAAAAATAATGATATTAAATATATTATCTTATATTATCAAACATTATGATCTAGCAAGTTTAGTATGTTAGTATAAAATTTATTAAAATTGGTTCCATGTCATCAAAATATTTGTTGAATCAAGAGAAAAAAAGTTTCTCACCCATCGTTGCTTGTCCAGATGGTGAAGAGCCGGCTAGGCAAAGCCTAGGTCCCTGGTTCGAATCCCTTGGCAAGCAGTAAAAGCCTTAAGTTTGGCCCGTGTAAATTGGTGTGGGTTGCATGCTAGATCGGCCAGGGTTTTCACTGGCCTAAGGACAATGCTTCCTCGTTACAAAAAAAAAAAGTTTCTTGTCCTTGATCTGAATGGCTTACTTTGTGATATAGTTAATGATTACTATATTCATTAGTATGGGGAATATATATATATATATAAGAAAATAATGAATAATGTTCGATTTTTATTTCGCTTATAAGAGTTAAAATTATCAGTTACGGGATAAAAGAGTCACAGGCTGAAGTCTAATCTGATTCATTTCTCACCCTAGTTGCCAAGATCATATAAAAGAAAAATTATCACATTAAAAATTAAAACAAATTTGTTGGCATATAAGAAAAAAAAAATTTTGACTCTATCGCCGTGTATATTCTAGACTGTAATAGTTTGATGTCGTCTATTAGAACACAATCTCACTATCCTAAGCCCTGATTTAATGCAAAACATGCGTAGCAATCATAACCTATGAGCCTCTCGCTCAAACTCACACTACTACTGAAATCAGTCCTTAAACCAGGGGCGTCAGGCGTCTGTCTCTTTTTACCCAAGTGGGTGAAAACTTATCGGGAAAGGAACATCAGGACCATCCCTGGAAGATCACATCCAAATAATTGAGGAATCTCAAAACGAGATTCTTCAACTTCTTTGAGAGACCCGACAACCAATACTAGCATAACAAAAGGAGGTTCTTCTGCCTCGAGATACACCACTAGTCGAAGGTGTTCAACCTAAACATCCTAATGCAGATAATCCTCTTCCATAGTCACGAAGTCGCCTTAGAACACAACAAGACATTGACCTTGTTGACACCGCTATCTCTACCCATCCTTCTCTCCCCAATCAGCTAGCCCGCATTCCTCCGGACATCCCAGAGGACTTGGCCTGACCTAACATTGTTGAGCTCCCACCCAATGCCATCAGTCATGAACTGCAATGAGTGGTTTGAGAAGAGTTCCCAATGAGAGGTAGAAAACAATCTCTTTGTTGCGTCCTGGAATATTCGCGGCGGTAGAGAAATATATAGTTTAACGTCTTAGCGTTGTACGAAGATCCAGCACACAATCAGATAAGTGAGAGGGTGTAGCGCGTGCCCGATCAAGCTAATTTTGTGATGCCGTATCACTCTTCATCAGTGAGACTTCTAGGAGTCATCAGCCCTTACTGAGGCTATTCTTCAACACTCCATTCCGGCAGGATTTAAACAACCGAACATCGATTCTTATGATGGGTCATCCAACCCCTACGAGCATATTGATTACTACCAAACTAGTATGCATATATAATGAGCCTCAGACGCACTCATTCGTCAAGTTTTTCTGGCCACCCTCAAGGATAAGCTCGAACATGATTTTATTCGCTTCCAACCAGAACCATTACCATATTTGTCAAATTGGCCAAAATATTCGTTGAACAATTTTTTATAAATCGGAGAATATTTAAATATTTTTTCCACCTCTTGGAAATTTACCAGAGTGAAAGTGAGTCCCTCAAAGATTTTCTACTGAGGCTCGATAAATTTTAGGAGTGGATCCCGAATTACTTAGAGGAGTTTTCCTCATATGGCTTTGTCCTAGCCACTTTTACTCAACACTCATACGAGACACGGTTCATTAATATGCTGATCTGATTCATCATGTGAAGGCACAAATTTCTGCAAATGAAGATAATAATGCTCATAGAAACTAATTTGAGCAAAGAAATAGAAAGCGTAAAAGTGCATCAGGAACAAATAATCCATCCTTGCAGCGAAAGAACCAAGAAAATTATAAAATTATACAATCAAAAGGGTCAATATTCAACAATCATAGTACATATTTCTCTAAGTATTACAATAAAATATCATGATCATTACAAAAATATAATTACAATTTAGCTAAAAGTCATAACTATAATTCGAAACCTACAACCTCTACCTCTAATCAAAATGCTCCTTATCATTTTCCATTTCTTGAAAGCAACACCTATAGAGAAAGTAGCGGTGAGCATCAACAACTCAGTAGGGTACAAAAAAACCTTCAATAATTTATAATGTATATAAGGAGAAATAATATGCATATCATTCTATTTTCATATAAAAATAAAAAAGCATGTAAAAATTAGCGAAAGTTCATTATTTTAAAAAATAATGATATTAAATATTTTATCTTATATTATCAAACATTATGCCGACCTTTTCTTCCACTTTATAACTAGCACATTAGGGTATCTCGAACCGAGAACTCCATTTTTCACGGCAAAATACCGCAAAACGCAAAAATGGCGTGGTGCTGCTCCAATCGAACGTCATTTTTTTGCTTATGTCCGAAGGTAACGATCCTTCTCCTTTGGCGTGTTTTTCCGGTTGAGAGAGGAAAATAGCGTGGGTGAACAGTGCAATATTGATGTTGCACTGTTCACCCGCAAGCAAATGGCGGACGTTTTGACGTTCGGCTGGAGCGACGGAACGACTCCAAACACTCGTTTGGCGTTCGGTTGGAGATGATCTTAATCATTGACTATATCACCAAACTTGCCATTCTTATCAAGAACAATAAGCTTTCTCCTCTTGTTGGAATAATCAACAAATATTTTGGTGACATGGAACCAATTTTATGAACTTCTTATATTTTTTTTTTCCCTTGCATTTCATGTTGTGTTACATGATACATATACACATTTACATAAGAGTATTAAAAATGCTATAATAGGAAGTAATTAAATTACATTTGCTCCCCTTCCATTTTTTCTATATGGTATGAACAATGAGACTAATTATAGCAACATTTATGAAAAGAATTGATGATTTAATTATAGTAAATATTATTGTAATTAAGGTTGTTTTGCATGTATATTTTCAATTAAGGATAAAAATATTAAAATTAAGTGGTAGCAACACCTTAAATATTATTAACCTACTGTGTAGTATGAGGCTAGGAGACTGATTAATAGGCCCAAGATCATTTCTCGCAATTTGATCGATTGTATTCGAGATTAACCTCTAAATGTTATCGAACAATTAAAATCTCTCTTACAAAATTGCCCAAAATCTACTATGCACTCCCTAATAGGTTTGATAAGGCTCAATTGTCCTGATACCAACTAACATAATATTATATTAATAAAGAGGAGCTCAAAAGTTAGTCTTTTCTCTCAAGGCTACTCAAGCGTGTCTTCGACTTGCTCAAATTGAGTCAAATCTATCGTAATTAGAGCTTGGCCAAAAGTCTCTCACCATGACTTGATCCAGCTTTTTAGGCAAAGCGAATTCATTACACTTATAAGAAAATAATGAATAGTGTTCGATTTTTATTTCGTTTATAGGAGTCCAAACTATCGGTTACTGGATAAACGAGTCACAATCTGAAGTCTAATATGATTCAGTTCTGACCCTAATTGACAAATCATATAAAAGAAAAGCTATCACATTAAGGGGTTGTTTGGCTGTAGGATTTAGGCGGGATTTGAGTGAAATCCAGGCAAATGGCCTAAAATGCAAAACCAAATCTTAAGGTAAATGAAAGCCATCAAAGATGGAAAATTACCCCTTTTCGCAATAAATCCTGGATTTTCGAAAACCCGTGATTTGGCGGATTTAACCTCTGTTAGCATGAGAGAGAAAAAGAGTACGTTTTTTTTTTAGAATTTAATGCTCTATTGTCAAACAGTCACACAAGATTTAACATGATTTATCACGAATGTTATCAAATAATTTTCAGGATTTAATCCGACCCCTCATGATTCTGTAAATTTGGATTTACGAAATCCTACTACCAAACAATCCTTAAAAACTAAAACAAATTTGTTGGCATATAAGAAATAATTAAAAAAAAAAGTAAATCCTATTAGATAAATAAAATCTTATGGTTGACCAAGACCTTTTATCTTGCCACGTAAACCTTCCAAAATAGCTTCTTCAACTGAAGTCACCCGTTAACTAAAACAGAAAATTTGGAACATCCTAACGCAGTTCTCGAATAAAACTGTATAACAGCCGCAAAAAGGAAAAATCAGAGAGCCCCCAAATTTCTCGGCTTTGAACTCGAAGCAAAGAAATCGATCGATCGATTGATTGACTGACAGATGTTTCCAGAACCCTAATGGTTTGATTCTTTGCTTGCTTGTAGTACTGATGACGTGCAAGCGACACCCTTACGAGGTCGGCGTCGGCGTTTGCGCCACCTGTCTCCGGGAACGTCTTTGCGCCCTCATTGCCGCCCAGAACAAGCTCGCCTCCGCCGCCGGGGATGCTCAGACCTACCCTACTCCGCGCAATCCTCAGCTCTCATTCCCCAGATCCACTTCCCCCTACTTCGCCCACCGCAGATCGGTTTGCTCCGATGGCCCTGCTATCAACCGCTTCTTCACCACTCCTCCCGCCGGTAATCTCTCGCGCCGAAAACCTCATTCTCTCTGGTCTTCAGTCTTCGGACCTCCCAGATCTGAGTCGTCGGAGCCCCGATCGTCCTTTTCGTGGATCTCCACCCTAATCCGGAGAAAGAAATCGCGAAAATCGTTCGAGGCGGCCGGATCGCCTCCGCCCTTGGAAAGAGGGATGTCACTTGCGCGGTACCGTGACGAAGATGACGGAGGAGACTCCGACTACTCTTCCGATTCCTCCACCGTTGGTCGGCTGCCGGGACCTACGCCAATTCGGCCTCAGGCGGCCCGGCCTCACCGGACCGGCGACGGCGCGGGTCGAGGATTTTCTGGATTCGCGGTTTGCCTGAGCCCCTTAGTTCGTTCGAATCACAACCGCCGGCGGGCCGAGCCAGTCAACGATCAGATTCGTCGCCACGTGTCTTTCGGAGACAACCGGTCGGTCGGAGTTAATCGGTCCAGAAAGCTGGCCGATTTTGGTCGGTTTAAATGACGCTTTTGCCCTCCTTCAACAGCTTGATTTTTTTTTGTAATTTTTTTAATATGAAAAAATTATTATTGTATAGAGTATAGACAGAGAGATGGGGAGAGGTCTGCGCCAATTAAATGGCTTATGGTGGGGTTGAAAATGTCAGAGGAGGATTCAGAGAATTTTATAGGTTTTTAATGCCTTCCATAATTTCTTTGAATGAAGAATTCAAATAAATGGCCAAATTTTTAAAATTTTCACCCTAAAAAATAATTTTGTTCGATGATTTTTTTTTGGAACGGGATATCTACCTGCTGTCATTCTAAATAGAATGTTTGTCGGCGTAACTAATTTCTCGGCATCGGACCCACACTTATTTTGCCCAACTGAAGCAGCGTGGCCAAAGTAGAGGATTCAAATCAGGGATGGAGGTTCCCAACTGTGCTCGCCCACCAACCACCTTAAGCCTCGACAGGTATTTGATGAAATGCTTATGAAATTTTAAAATGAGTTGTTTAATTTGTTCTTAATAAAATTTTTATATTAGGATATTCTTCTGCACTAATCTTGATGTAAATTCAAGAGCACAAATTTTATACTTATATAATTTATATGAATATATTTTGGCATAATTTTATATTTTAGTTTTAGATAGAAGAATTTATAGATACAAATTGTTTGTATTTATGTATATAGCATTTTAAATATATGTAACTAAAATTTTAAATCACATAAAAATATAATTAATATGTATTTGAAAATTGGTCTATTTGATTGCTTATGAAAATTAAGAAAAATTAGAGTTTTTATAATAATTCAAAGTTTATTTTGGTTGAAAAAAATTAAATTCATTAATAATGCTTTTGATTAAATAATATTTTATTTTTTATTCTAAAGAAATTCTATATTAGAATATCAACTTATAACATTAAATTTGATTTGATACAATTCAACAAGTTATTAATTAATCAAATAGGGTATCTACGTGTTGCCACCTCCAAAGGAGGCGCATGACGACGTAATTAATCCATCGGTTGGCTTACAAGAAATCAACCCCACAGGTGCATGGCCACACAATTATTTTCTCCCCATATAAGGAGTCACTAGGGGTGTCAATTCGGGTCAACGGGTAGAACCCGGAACTGACCCGATGCTATCTGACACGACCCAAACCCGAAAACATTTTTGCAAACGGGTCAGAAAATGAAACCCGGACTCGACCTGTCGGGTTGCCGGGTTTGACACAACCTGAAACGAAATGGGCTGCAGAGAGTGGAGGTAGGCGGGCCGCGCGCAGGGGGACTGCGGCCTCGTGCCGCGTGGGCATCCCACGTCCGCTTGGATCTCGCGCAATCGCGTCGCGCGTGGAGACTTGAGGATTGCAGAGGTGCGCGTGCCCGCATGGGGACTTGCGGACTGGGGCGAAGCTGCCGAGGCTGTGCCTGGGGGCTGCTGAGGCGCGCCGCGTGGCTTGGGCGGAGGGAGATGGTTCTGTTGGGAGTTCGAAGGTGGGCTCCTGCCGGACTGCGCTAAGCAAGTTAGGGCAGAACCGAGTAAGCGAGAAGCCGGCTAGACTGGGCTAACGAACTAGGTCAACTTCGAGTTGATTTCAAGTTTTCGGGTCAACCCGAACCCGACCCATTTGCTAACCGGATCGACCCGAACCCGAATTTTTTCGGGTCGGGTTTCATGTCTAGTCAAAAATTGATACCATATGAGTCACGTCGCATGAGAGAGAAATCAAACATGAGTGGGAGGTTCCTAATCACACTCACCCACACAACTCACATTGATTTGTTAGTTGGAAGCTTCGGCTATCAACTAGAGATTTTGGATTTGAGTCTTGTGTATGTGATGCGTGTATGAGTCTGCATAACTGTCAGTTTGTCACAAAAAAAGAAAAAAAATATTACACTTAAATCAAAACAAATTGAATAATTATAAAATTTATCCTAACAATTGTGACGTCCCAGGCATCTATAGTGAAAGGATTCATCGACATATTTTTCTTCTTATTATTTCTTCTTTCTCAGATCAAATTTGTTTTGTTCGTCCCGGACGAACTCAGGTTCGTCCAAATGAACCTGCATTTTACTCAGTTCGTACAAGCAGTTCGTCTGTACTAACCATACAGATTTTCACAGTTTTTTTCAGTTCGTCCCGTTCTAAGGTCAGTTCGTACAGACTAACTGCACTAAAAAAAATGAAATTCTGAGGGGTATTACAACAATAACTATAAACCTCATATTAGTTATTAAATCTAAACTAAATTTAGTATTTACCCTTTAATTTTTCTTAAAACTTTAATTTTCATTTGATCAACAAATATTTTTAAAATACTACTCAAAGATTTTGAATAAAGAAGATTATTTTATTAAAAAGGATTTTTTTTATCAATATAACTATCAAAATCTACGAAAGTAAAAAAAATAATTAATGTTAACTTTATTTAATTAAAATTAAGTTAAGATCTTTGAAGTCAATTCAAAGTCATCAAAACCAAAATCATTGGATGAAGCAAAAGCTCATTGCGTGTCGCTATTGGTTCCATATTATTAGTAAATTTCAAATATTTTTAAAATACTACTCAAAGATTTTGAATAAAGAAGATTATTTAATTAAAAAGGAGTTTTTTATCAATATAACTATCAAAATCTACGAAAGTAAAAAAAAAATAGTTAATGTTAACTTTATTTAATTAAAATTAAATTAAGATCTTTGAAGTCAATTCAAAGTCATCAAAACCAAAATCATTGGATGAAGCAAAAGCTCATTGCGTGTCGCTATTGGTTCCATATTATTAGTAAATTTGCAGAAAAGCCATTTGTACTTTCAAAATTATTTAATTGGTGACGTGCAAGTTATTTTTATAGGTAGGTGTTGTGGGTCACGATTTGAATGGTCAAACCCTTTACCTGTTTAAGGAAAGGCAAGTTGTCGGTGACCTGTTAAATTGTAATAATTTATTTTTATAATATAAAATTAATCTATGACGTGCTTACAAATTTGTATTTTACTATAATTGATAATCCTACTAAAAAATTAGAGTTCGAGTTATAATCTGATTAATTTTCATATTGAATTTAGGTTTGATACGGCATCACAAAATTAGTCTGAGGCACGAATCTCGAGGCAAAAGCTAGTTGGAAACTTCAAAAATTAATTCCGGGAGCATCCGAACTCCGATTTTAGCGAGCTTATAGTCAAACTAAGCATCTCGAAAATACGAACCCAACGACACCAAGATCAACCCAATCCGAGCCCAAATGAGTTTGAATCAAGGACCCGAAGCGCTGTTGGAAGGTTCAAACCGCAATTTGAGTTACCAAACGGTCTCCGATTTTAAAGAGCTTATACTCGAATCGAGCGGCTCGACGAGACGAATCCAACGAGTCCAAGATCGCCGAATTCCGACATCATTAAGGCATTCAAATATTGGACGAACGGTGCACGATCAAAGGATTCAATATCAGCCGTCTATTCGACCACTCCTTATTTGCCCTTGATCTCACGCCTATTTACTAGCTATGCCACTCCAGAAAAACTATAAATAGAGCCCTCATTTCTCATAAGAGGAAAAAAAGTGAAGAGAGAGAAGAAGAAGAGAAGGAGGAGATGGAAGAAGCTCCTCCTCGACCACCGTCGGAGCTCTTCCCGTCGCCTGAGGACGCCGGAACTCTGCCGGATTTTCGGGAAACGCCGGGAATTTGCAGAACTTTGTAACTTTGTGAGAAGTTGATTATAAACTGATCGTCTTGATTTGTAAGACGAATCAACCTTTATACTTCATACAAACATTAGTGGAACTTTACAACTGGGCGAGGTTCCGTGGTTTTTTCCCTTTTTGGATTTTTCACGTAAAAACTCTGGTGTTCATTTTTCTTTTCCGTTTGTGTGCTGAATACTCGTGCAACGCTAAGACGAATATTTTCTAACTCTACTGCTGCGTATATTCTAGCACGCAACAAGGTTGATTCAAAAACCTGTAATTAACTCGATTATTATTCACGCTTAATTTAAACAGGTTATTGACATGTCAAAATGCCGTATTTAGGTTAAACATATCGAATTAATCTAGAGATATTAAAAACCATACGATAAACTGGTCAGATAGGTCTGATTTAGGTCAAATAACTAGTATGATAAATGAGTTAGGTTCAGATCAAGAATATTCGGGTCAACAAACTTCAGGTGAAATCCGAAACCGACATGTTAACTCAAATTAACATCCAAATTGCATGTCAAGAATATTTAATAGGGTACCATTTTAAAGAAATATAAGTCAATTTTTTATATAAAAAGAGAGATTAGTTATAAAAGAGAAGTTTATTTTATTTAAGAATATTAAAGTACTATCACTTGTCCCACTAAACAATCATTATGATATAAATATATTTTTTATTATTATTTTTTAAATGCAATTTGCTCATTCTATACGCTAAAAATTAAAGTGAGTTAGTAATTAGTAAAAGTTTGTTAGCAAAATAGATTAATTTGAAATCATAGATTTGTGCTAACTTAAGTTTGGTTTGGAACTGCTTTCTTACTACTTAAATCAACTTTCTAGTAAAAATTTTATACTAGAAAGCTGTTTTAAAAAGAAATAAGAAAGACGTCCCAAACGAAGTCTTAAACTTTATTTGGGACTGATTTTTTTACTGTATCTTAAAACAATTTTTTAGTATAAAAATTTTTATTTTATACTTAAAAATTATTTTAAAAAGCAGTGAGAAAGCCGTCCCAAACAAAATCTTAATTTATCGTAGCATGAATAGAATGGGAAAGCCATTAGTGTTCCTTTTTTGGTTTAAAGGAATAATTACTAAATAAAAACAAACAAAAAAATCAAATAGCTTTGCAACATATTTTATTTATCTTTATTTGAACTATAAAGACATTCTTTTAAAAATTTCAAAAAGTTTTGAAAATTTTATGTAAATTTAGAAAATTTGGAAATTTAATAATTCTTTATTTTGAAATTTATATGATGAATAATGGATTTAAAATTATGATAATTCTATATTTATTTAACTTGATACTATGGCATATATGTAATTAAAACTAATTACTATTATTTATACAAAATTGATCAAAGACAATTATAAGAATACACCTTTTCTTATTTTGGAAATGTTAATTCTCTTTTTCATCATCAATATTTAGATATATTTTTCTTATACACCTTATTAATATAGACATAAGAAGTATATTTTCATTTATTTTGTGTGTATTATTATTTGTAGATAAGAGTTCATTTGTAATTTTGAGGAATTTTGAGATTAGTGCTGCATATGATATAGAAATAGTTGCATTAATATAATCATAAATTCAATGAATATGAACCTTATCTTGATATGATATGTCACCATAGTATTACATAGTTTGTGTTGAGATTAGTGCTACATATGATGTCAAATGGTTGTATTATTATAATAGCAAATTCAAAGAATATGAAACTCATCGAATCCGATTAATCAATCAAGCTCAAGTCATGGGTGACTCAGAGCTCGACTCGACTTGTTTATACCCCTAGATACATATAACTTATTACTTGAAATCTACATTGATAAGTTCAATTAATTATCATATATAGAGAGTACATATGTTGCGTGACTGATATTTACTAATAAATATAATTTATCATCTTATACTTCGTTTGAGATGGCTTTCTTACTACTTCTTAAAGCAGCTTTTTAGTACACCGTCCCAAAATGAAGCCTTATATGTGGATGAATCCAACACTTCGTTAACCATGGTTAAACAAGATCCTCAAAGCCTAAGACAAATAAAATTATTGAGTGAGATTTTTCACTCTCTTCTACATGTATCAAAATTTATCACAAAAAGCATGCAGAGACAAAAACAAGCAATAAAAACAAATAAAATCAACAATATATTGTCAACCAAAGTATCTGAGCTGCAATGTTAGCTCCAGCAAAAAATTATAGTAGAAGGATCCATGATCGAAATCATAAACACACAAACCTCACAACAACTTCTATATTTAATAGATAAGATCATATTCCTTGTTTTCTACTAAAAATTTAAAAGAAATGAGAGCTTCAGATCAAATAATTTCCCAATCAGATGCAGACTCATCTAGCTTCTGATAAGACGCTTCAGTTTCAATGAAAAGCTTACTCTCTGGGGTTTCAACAGCCGTTGAAGTGATTTTGGATTCTTCAAAAGCTGCTTTAGAGTCACCAGACTGATCTAAAATTGGAGCTTTAAGCTTATTTTCATCAGATAGTTTGTTAGACATATCTGCATTGCAAATTTACAGTTCATCAGGTAACAGTTCAATTGAATTATAGAATATTCTTATTAAAGTTTTGATTATGAAAAGCTATGAAAATTTTGATTGTTTGAAATCTGACCTTGTACTTGATGCGTAAGATGTTCCACCTGAATTTCCAAACGACCAATATGAGCTGTTAATGAAGAAATAGCCTGTAGCAGTTCAACTTTCAACTGCTCCCCATAACTCCAGCAGTATGGGAAGTGATTATAATTCTCTTCAGTTTCAACTGTCTTGGTTGTATTCTGAACAGGCTGCGCATTTTGAGTCTGACAAATTATTTTATAAGGACTTGAGTATTTCAGTTGTTTTTATAAAATAACATAGTTGACAAATTAACTTGTTTGATGGAAGCGAACCAAACGAATCAAATCTGAACACTCATTAATTTAAACGAATCAAACATGAACAAAAACAATAAAGCTCGAATAAAACATGAATCAAACTTGAACAAACTGATAATAATTGAACTTAAAGATGAACACTCACATACTCGGCTCCGCTTGATTTGTTTGTAGTCTTATGCTAAACATATGCAAATATGACCAGGCCATTGGATTACACCGGGTCGCCGAGTCACACGGTTTGATTAACTTCTCTTAAATATTGTTTTGTTGAATGGGATGGATGATCGGTACTGATGGGGACATCGTCAGAGATTGCGACACATGTACCATCAGGAGATGCCGGAGATCGACGGCCACGATCATGACCTTTATTTTCATCATTTTATGTAGTAGTTTATTTGATTTTTATGTTTTTCCGTTTTTGCCCTTATGGGTAGTTGGTCGTTATTGTAGCCCGAGGGGCATTTTAGTCTTTTGTTGTCTTGTCATTTTGAGGCCTATTTATATGGCCATTTTCTCATGTAATTTTAGTTTTTGAGGAAATGAAAATATTTTGTGTTCTCTTTGTGAGTTCCCCCTCCAAGATCTCTTAGTGAGTTCGCCGGAGATCTCTTAGTGAGTTCGCCGGAGGAGACTAGATCTCTTTGTGAGTTCTAGTTTTCATACCATCTTATCTTGTGGAAATCCAAAGTGAAGATAATTAAGGTTAGTAATTTTATGGTCGCTCGAATCCTTAAAATTTCCCTCTCTCCCTTCCCCTTTGCTTTTGCCGCCGCCTAACCTGAGCTGCTCAAGCCGCCGGCCACCTTGGCTGCTCCTCCTCCCGCCGGCCAGCCCTTCCCTAGGCTGTGGCCGCCGGCCCATAACCCCCCGAGCAGCCATCCTCAACTTCCCTTGCACCGTTCACCCACTCCCCATGTAAGCAACCCATCCCGTGAACCCCTCAGCTCCCAGAACTTCTTTTCCTTGCAACCAATTCCTGCCGTTTCTCTCTGATTTGCACAACCCGAGGAGTTATGCCATTAATGCCTGATTAATTGCTGCTTTAATCAGCCGTATTAAGCAAATGAAAACTGACATTTGGTTTTCAATTTGAATTTCAAAGCCAAGCCAAATCCCCACCTCCCTCCACCACTCCCCAACTCCACA